TATGGGTATTGGTATCACTTAGAGGCTCGCTTCACGGAACACTATTCGAACCACGTATGTTCATTTGACACATGCATTCAATTCATTCGTTACATCCCAAAGACCCCATAAGAGATTCGACATAAAAAAACGCCATTTCGCTATGCACCCTCTATGTGTCAAATCACCCGGGCATGACGTTCCCATGATGCCAATGTCCCACCTCATAAGGAATCCCTTTGGAAGAAAAGGGGAAAGAAAGAGATCAGAATGTGACGTAATCTTTTCATTTCCATTACTTCACACGGAGACGTTTGCCCGCGGGCTCAGCATCCACGCGCTCGACAGCCGTAGTGGTTGACGCTACCCAGTTGTAGTTTTCGGTGTCAATGCTCTGCGAAACAACTTTTTCGCTAGTAGCTTTTGGTTCGTTGTCATGGCCATCGTCATCATTTGACTTCTTGAGTTGCCACGGGGCCTCGATGGACAAGGAAAAAACTTCTTTATCTGATTTCTGGTTTGAAGCTCGTTTCTTTTGCGGTGCCTGTCCGTCGCTCAATTCATTCTTCGGTAGAGGACTCTTTGGATCAGAAACATTGCTAGTCTCTGTCGGCTGTTTCGGCTGCTCTTCGTCCTCAATCTCCTCGGTATAGTTCCACATTAGGCTGATTTCACCGCGGACAAGAGCGGTAAGCCATATGCTTCCGAGCACGCCAGGGACCAGGTAAAGCAGTGCGGGTTGTGCGTGGTTCCAGATCATCATGACGCTGAGGGTAGCCAGCAAGCCCAGGACATAGCCAACTAAGCCAGCATTGAAGTATGTTTTTGGGAATGTAAACGGATCCTCTGTCCCGGCGTTCGTCTTAGCATCAACCCAGAGTGGCCGGCCTGTAAGGGAATGCGTCCAGAAGTAGTCGCTCCAGCGTCCAGCTAGCGAGTAGTACTTTGGCTTTTCAACAATTTCTTGGCCCTCTCCTGCAACAGCGGGTCTGCGCGTCTGGCGACGAAGGTAGAACAGATACAGATCAAAACGCAAAGCAAGACCAATCATGATGCCGGGCAAGACGACATCACCTAGACCAAGCATGGCGTGTGAGGGGACTGAGGTGGGATCGTTAGCTGCAGCCGGTCGTGGGAACATGAGTTTGATCGGCACGTCGAGCGACTTCGCCACAGTTACCATCATGGGCCTGGGGCATGTGTTAGCTACGTTTGGAGTGTCATAAACAAGGCGCCTTACGTAAAAAAGACAAAGTAAATGTCGTAGAAGAAGAGTGCACCCAAAATCAGACTACCCGTAGCAAATGTCGTTGGCGACATGAGCTGCAAGGCACCGTACGAGAATCCAAAGCCCAGCAAATTTGTCAAATACCATGGCTTGTCGACCAAGTTGAAGTAAGCCACAGTTGCAAGCCCAGTCAAAACGCCGACCATGCCATGAGGACCCATCTTGAACTTGCCGGCGAAGACGCGATGCATGTAGAGCTTCAACGTCCATTTGTTGCCTGGCATGGCTCGATCAGCCCAGAGCAGATTCCTCGCCCCTTCAGACAGTGGGATCTTGGAAAGGAAACCTGGTAGAGGCGTGGCGAGCGGCTGCTTGCTCTGAACATCACCAGCTACCGGAGCTGCCTTGGCCGCCTCACCGTCAACGTGGTATAGCGCTCGGCCAACTACATGTCGGCGTGGGTATATTATGGAGTGGCCAATGTCAAGGAGGTCGGCGACTAGTCGCGAGACTGAAAAGATGCCAAAGACGGCAAAGTAGGCATTGAGGATATTGTTGAGCAGGGCGGGGTCCTTCATCCACTTGAGAAGAAAGTACAGCGAAGCTAGGGCGATCCCTGCAAAGAGAGGCATAAGTAGGGCGTCCGTGGGCGATAAGCCTTCCATAATGCGCTGCTCGTCTTCGTCGTCTTCGTCCTCATCTTCGTCCTCCATGTCGTCATCGCTTGTACTGGACCTCTTTTTTTTCTTAGCGGGTTTCGCAGCGGTCGATGGGCGTGTGAGCGAGGCGTGTGCGCCGGCGTATATTGGAAAGAGGGCTGAGACGATCAGGTGGATGTAGGTGGGCAGCATTGGCTGCATCAGCGAGAACTCGTAGGCAGCCTTTCCAAGGATTTGGGCCCAGAGGCCCGGATCCGAGTCGGCCATGCGGCGCTGGTATGGGGTCGCTGTGCTGCTGTTAAGTTTTTTTTCCTTTTCTAGTCGCACTGTTCAGTAAAGACGGAGAGGACGAGTGATGGCGATCGCAGACGTGTAGATGATAATTATGGTGGGTGGTGTGTTTCAACTCTTCAGAAGGGACAGAAGCGTAACGTGGAGTCAAGGATGGGCGCAAGGGCGCAAGAGAGCCAGGAGAAGAAGACAAAAGGAATAAAGGCTGACCAGAGTTGGACAATGGCTACTGCCGGCTGCGACAAAGAAGCAATGGAGAGTTGATGGTTGTTCTAGCGGCGCGGCTGGAGTTCCCCAGTGACCAAGTAGCCGTTTGGCAGTAGACCAATCAGACAAGACGTCGCCCCCCACTCGACCGATCGCCAGCCGTGCCCCCAACCCCCGGCCTCAGATCGGCGCGTCTGCATGAGCGGGATCTTGCAGGCGGTCGAGATGCGACTCGCTGGATTGCGTGGGCGGCCTGCTGTGCCTCATGGTTCATCGCAATGTGTCGACCCAGGTGCTCGGGATGCTAAAAAAGCTTGGTGGGCAAAATGGTTGCATTGTGTGCCTAAAATATACGGTTTTTCTCCACCTCTCCCAGCTACTGCCACCGACTAGCTCTGCCTTGCAATCTGCAACTTCGTCCTTTGTGCTATCGACCTGACCGTGTACAAATTCCTCAAGTCCTTCCTCCACCCTTGAAATGCAATGCGTTGTGCGGGTCGTGTATATTCGTCATACACCAAATGTTCCATAACGCCAATCCATGGAACAAGGTAAGCGCTGAACCGAAAATGGAGCAAAAGCCAACTATGACAAAAGAGAATAGGGAGGGAAAAAAAGAAAAGAAAAGAAAAAGCCTGTGTGATGGCTAGCTTGAACGCCAAACCCGCAATTACAAAACGATATTTCGTGTAAGGAGAAGAACAAACGACAAGTGAGAAGTAGGCAGAAAAGGCGCCCATAACCTGAAGCCAGACCAGCTGACTAGAACATCCTGGTTAGTGTACAACGAAAAATGCCCACCCCCAAACGCACACGCTAAGAAACAAAGGAGATGCAGGAAATGGACAAAGAAAATGGTTAGCAAGGCGTAAGCCGGGTTGAGGCATTAAAGTCTCGTAGCATGTCAAACGACATGCCGTCGACCGTGACACGCTGTTGTGACTCGACGTAAACGTCGTGCGAAGTGCCGAGTGCACTTCCATCCCAAGGCGACATGGCACTCAGTCTCTTGCTGCGTAGGTGGGGAGGGGTCACAGCCGCAATGACCCGCTCTTTCATTTGTGGCGTGATGGCTGATGGGCGCTTGCAGTCAAAGTAAGACAGTGAGACGGATGATGAGGTGAACGACGGTGCCGATGTAGCCGACAAGGATGTCAGCTGAGGGTGAGGGGAACACGATGACGGGTAGTGGTCGTAATCCGGTTGGCCCGATGAGGAACTAGGTTGCGCTGATTGATACGGAAACTTAAATGCCTTGGCGGCATCAGCCTCAGACTGGTCCTCTAGCGGGGTCGACGAAAATAGAAATGACGAAGCATTGCCGGAGTCGGATGTTTGGTAGTAGCCTAGTACTGAAGGCGTGTGGCTGCTCGTCTTGGAAAGGCTGTCCTCGAGTGAAAGCGCGTATTCAGTAAGGGCATGCGACTCGTCGTCCGTGTCTTCGTCAGTCGAGCTCCATGCTGAGAACTGGCTCTTGACCGGTGCTCGAATCGGGGGTATCTCAATGATGCGTGGTTTCTCGACTGGGCGGCGTACCGACGGGCATGACGACGAGCGAGACGACTGTGTGGCAAAGGACAGATCCGGACACGAGCGAGGCGACAAAGGCAATGAAGAATCCGAGCCGGGCTGGTAGGTCGGTATTGATTTTAGCTGGTTCTTGATGAATTGGGCCAAAGTGGCCGAGTAGTCTCCTAGCGTGGGAGAAATGTTCCGGACAGGTCCGCTGCCGTCGTCACGTGGAACGACGGTTGACGTGCTTCGGTCGGTAGCATCTGAAGGGATGCGTGAGTGCGAGGGTGCGTGTCTGCTAGATCCAAAGGGAGTGGGTTGTTCTTGAGGGGTGGGGATGGCCGCGAGTTCTTGCAGAAACTTGATGTGGTCTCTAGGGTCAAAGGGTCGGCCGCCCTCCTCGTCGAGCGACTGGTTGCGGCGGGCTCGGCGTTTCCGGACGGCAGCTCTGCTCTCGGCCAGGATGAGTTGGGCCTCTGGTGTGGTGCATCCGAGGGCGTCGATGATGGGGAACGAGTTGCTTCTTTGTCGCTGCATGCTGTAGCGGGGGCTGGCGGAGCGAGCAACAGGCGAAGACTGGCGGGATTCCATGGTGTTGTGCATATGAGGCAAGGAAGTAGTATATATGTATATATCTATGTATTTATGACGGCGGAATGAGCGGGTGATGATCTTAGTGCATGGCCGTAGCAGCCGCGGAACGAGTGGTGTATGTGTATGTAGTAGAGTACTTGTAGCTGGTGGTGAGAGAGGGCTTCAGGCGAGGGTGGGTGGATGCGGGCCAGGCGAGGTGAAGCACAAAAGAAGCGAGAGGGAGGGGGGGGATTGTGCAGTATGTATGTATGGATGGATGGATGGATGGATATCGGCAGGCAGGGAATGGTGATTCGAGAAAAAAAAGAAGGAAGCGGTACTGGCGAGATAGCAAGTGTACTTGAGAAGCGGGAAAAACGGGCGTGGCTCATTGGGCGCAGACGGGGTCAGGAGGATATGAGTGGTTGGCGTCGCGTTTGACTGCCCAGAGGGCGTTAGCTCGTCGCAGCCTGGACGGCACTCAAGCCGACGACGGAACGCAAAAAGAGTTGGCATGGCCACATGACGTTTACTGACTTGGAAGAGGGCGCATGGGTTTCGAGTGGCACGGCCCCGGGCAGGGCAAAAAAGAAGGACCAACTATCGTGTACCCCTGGATGGCGTATAACCCTACTGCCGGATCCCGCTGGCGTTTCGTGCCTAATGGCCAATCCGGGTCGACATGGTTCATGGCCTTGTCATGCGCCCTCACCCAACGTCATGGCAGTTGGCACCAGCAGCCCATTGTCGTCTGGTCACACACTGTACGCGTAGCAGCAGCAGCGCCTGGCCATGAGGAGAGGCGAGGGGGTGGTGAATGATGGCAGCGTCTGACCTCGACGACTGTCTAGGCAGCTACAGTGCATGTGCAGCACCAGCGGTACTGCTACTGCTACTGCTACTGCTACATAATGCTGTGTACCACCCACGTAAGCAGGGCACTCACTCTACAGTACTCACTACTACTACATACACGTACAGTACAGTAAGTAGACACAGCAGCCGTCTAGTCTCCACTGCGCCAGCGCCAGCACCAGCATCAGCACCAGCACCAGCAACCCGCGTGCTTTGTGTAAGGCGATCAAGGAGATCGACAGCACCCTTGCTTTTTGCCTTCGACCAAGTGTTTCTCAGCGGCCTGTAGCCTGATCAGCCCTGCTTGCTAATGCCCTCTGCCTCTCTGACTGGCGGGCTGCTCGCCGAGCTAGCGTTTGGGGGACACATCGATCAGCGCCGTCCACGCAACACAATCGGGCGATATGGCGATAGGGCGTGCACGGCACTGAGTCGCCCCAACCCATCCAAACTCCGCTCCGCAAAAGGGTCTTTTTGGGATGCTGCAGCCAGTCCAAGTGTGCATGCAATCTGCAAGGTACTGCTGCGCGCCTCGTCGTTGCCCACGGCCATGCGGCTAGCACGGGCGCCGCTAGGCCAGCCATGCTCTCATCAACTCGTAGCAGTAAGTAATGACCGTGGGAAGAAAAAAGGACTAGGAACCCAATTCGGCCCGACCGACGGCACTGCCAAGGGGCGCAGAGGCTGAGCACCGCATTTTGCAGCGCGAAACCCGCGATGCAGTCGGCCATGGTGGAGAGAAACGAGGCGCATGGCCAGTGGATGCCTGCCTGCCTTCCCGGTAAACCCAAGCCCAAGTGCCGCCTCGCTGCCTCGCCGCCACAGTCCCATCCATCCACCCATACCCACACACCCACACACACACACTCTCTCTCTCCCCGCCCACACATGGAAACACACCCAACGGGCCGGAGCGGCCTCCGCTGCAACCTCTTCATAGGATTCCCAACCGCCTGAAACATGGCCATACTGCAGCATTCACGCTCCATCCCAACGTGCGACTTGCTAGTTGCCCATACCCAAATCTACTACACATGGCTGCCACTCTGTCGCCTAACCGGCATCCCCCCATGTCCCTGCAAACGGCCCCTGCGCTACTAAGCAACTAAGTCTTATTCACCCTCCCACGGCCTTCCCTGTGGATTCGGTTGAGTCACGGGCCTTGCGACAGCTTTGGTCACAGAAACATCAACACCACGTCCACGTTGTTTTTTTTTTCATTCTCCCGCTTGACATCATCATGAATAGCAATAGGCATCAATGCAGCCACCCTGCCCGTCGGGCCATGTGCATCACCAACCCAAACTCTGTTCCTCTTGCCACAAGAAACCCATCACACACACACCCCGGAACCCTCTTACCACCATCGGGCTGTTCCACCTGCTCTCAATGGCTCAGATTGCCTCTCTTCTGCCCGATGACTGCTGCCCTCAACATGTCTCTCGCCCGTTTCACCACCTCTTCCACCACCACCATCAAATCCAGCCGCCGTATCCCCCATGGCCTCTTGCGACTAGAGTACGAACATGCACTGCACCACACCTCCCTTTCCGGCCCGGCTCTTTCTCCATCCATCCATCCATCCAAACACCACCTATTCTGACACCTCACCACCTTGGCTTTTGCAATTTCGGCCTCCTGTCATGTGCACGGCGACCCCATTCGGCAAAGACACAACCATAAGCACAAGCACCAACACGGGCACCACCACCCTTCCCTTTGCGCATCGCCCCGTCCCTGCCCCATCAATGCCAACTGACACATCCATTGTCGGCCTTTTTTTTCGTCTTTTCGGCCTTATCGGCCTTCTCGTCGTACGAAGCGCTTACGGCTTCTGCCATGGACTATCGACAATACCCTTTACTTAGACTCTCGCTCTCGTATCGCCCGTTCTCTCGTGTTCTGACCCCACGTGAACAGTCTTTTTCCAGTGTATTCCGGTGACCATGCTCATCCTACTACTATTTTGCATGTCGCTCCACATGTCTGACATCTGGCTGAACTAACTCTATCCAGCCCTGCTAGTCAGTCTTGTCCATTGGTGCGCTCTTTCCCACTATCAGACACTACACTAAGCAAAGCCTCTCGCTTGCAGAATTGACTCATCTTAGCCTGCACCAAGATAAAAGCTGTTGTTGATTCATCAAGCGACACACATCTGTCTGTTGACAATCACTCTAGTGCTTATTTTCGTCACCTATACGCCCGTATATTGCCATCCTGCACAATACAAGTATGCAATACTGGTCGATCTAAGCCACTGTTTCCGATGGTGGCACTTGTAGTTTATATCTCAGTAGCACGCATTGCCTTTGGCCGTCTCATCCAGGCTCCCCCATGTTAACCATGCAGATCGCAGTTTGTCTCGGGAGACGCACAGAGCTCGCACGCTCCTGACGATCCTCAAAACCATCAACGTTCGTTGCTCACATAAGATCAGAGCAGAATTGGTTCGACTACGCTAGCTACAAGCACGGCTGTTGGAAACATCGCCGTCTCTTTGCCGCAACCACCCACAGATTCCCATTGCGGGTGGAGCGGGCCGCTAGTCTCAACATGCCAGGCAGAGAAAGAACCAACATGTTGTTTCACCTACCCTATGCATAGTCTTGGTGATCCGCCTCATGGATGCGGCCGGCACTTGCCACCTCAGAGCCTAGTATCGTCGAGAAGCTTTTCAATTTGCAATACCCAACACCAACACACGACCACTACTATACCTAAAGCATAGACTTTTCTTGGTTACTCTTCGAGCGTTACAACAAAGCTTGACCACCCCGCTGCATACAACTGAGCAACACGCTTACCCCGCAGACTTTGGACTTCGTGGAACGCACTATAAAACCTCCGCTCTTCTAGCCCAAGCTGTCCCATACTGTTATCTCCGGCGCCAAACACTACCCTTTCCTTGGCCGGTGAACCATTTCCAGGCTCTGCTGCTACCAGAACATGTCCATGGCCAATTGCCACTTGATACACACGAGCCTCTTGACCATTAGTCCTTACCTGCAGACACTTTACAAACTCATCCGAGTCATCCTCCTCAGCTGCAATCCCTGTACTCGGCACATGCCCATCCGCATTTCCACTCAGCACGTCCATCTCGCCCGTTGAACCCGGACAGGCCTGACCCCACACAAACAGCTCACCGTCCGTACTCAGCACGGCACTCAAGTAACCCCCAGACGCCACTTGCTCGACGCACGTCTGCTCAAGGTACGGTATGGGTCTGAACTCTAACACGCCGTCTGTGGAAAAGGGCCGGCCCACACAAGCTTGATATCGCGCGCCGCTGCTTGACGTCCACACAGCGCCGCCGGAGCAGCCCAAGACACTGGTCGTCGTCGCGTTGCTAACTACTTGCGGTGCCCCGTGCGAGTCATACGGCGCGCGTTTCACAGGTACCGCCGACGCCGATGCCGTCGCCAACGCGAATGTTCCGGCGGCAAGCCAGACGCGCAGATGCGCGGTCGAGGAGACCGTTGCTAGGTAGTAGCAGCTTGTGTTGTTTGCGATGCTCAACTTTAGACTCAGCAAGAGTGTCGAGTCGCTTTGGATCGCGATGTCTGTGATGTTCAGAGTCTCGGGTTCGCTCGGTATCAAGTACCTGTGTACGTCATGCGGTCCTTCATTTCTGCTCCTACTTTGCGTCTCATCTTCTTCGTCTTCTTCTTCCGCAGCAGTAGAAAATAAAACAACTTCCTGTCCTCCACCGCTTTCACCGCCCAAGCTAAGTATGTAGCCTTGCAACCCGTGATGCATGGTACTCCCAAAGAAAACCAACCCATACCCTCCTCCTCCTCCTCCTTCTTCTTCTTTCTCTCCAAGCGCTTTTACAAATCCATCGCTTCGGCTGGCTAACTCCAAATACTCCCGTTGCGGCTGGCTTAGCCCTGTGCCGTGATACCGCAAATGCCATGTCTGCTGCTGCTCCTCCTCCTCGCTACTACTGCTGTTGTTGTTGCTATCGACATTGCAATAAGCGAGTAGCACGTCACACCATGAGGCCCACAGGATGCGTATGCTGCGTGCACTCTGAACTACTATAGCGTCCTCCTCCTCCTTTTCTTCCTTCTCGGGACGACGGGTATTGCTACATCCGAAAGTGTGTAATCGCATGGCCCACCACCCTCTTTTTTTTTCTTCTTCTTCCCTTTTTTTCCCTTTTAGATTAGGTTCGAATGGGAAAGAGAAAGGAAAAGTCACCACCTACGGAGACTTTTTTTTCCTTCTCTCCGAAGGATTTCGGGGGTGGAGACGTGCAAGGGGGATTGGTGATGTGCTAAAGTTGAACGTAGTGGTAGCTTGGAAAAGTTTAAGCCCTGTTTTTTTTTTCTTCTTCTTCGGTTGGTTGGTTGATTGGTTCGGGTTTGTTCACCACTTTTTTTGGTTGTTGCTGCTGCTGTTGTTGTTTTTTCTTTTTTTTTTCCTTCCTTGATGTTTGCTGCATTGTTGGTTTGGAAATTTGGCCGACCGAACATAACAAACACACTAGTACCTTAGTCGCGGGGGCCTTGGCATTTTTTTCCCTCCCCCACACACGTAAGTACTACAACCCTTACTCAGGATGTATCTCTCTCTCTTTCCTCGACTCATGGAACTTTTTTTTCATATCTTTCTTTCTCGGCGACTTTTGCCAATCTCGTATCTTGCATCTCGTATCTTGCATCTTGTGGTGGCCTGTTTTTTTTTGCTTGCCTAAACGAGGCGAAATGCGAATCCGAAGAAAGGCAAATCTTATTTTTTTTCCCACGCCTGACCACGTGTTTTTGGAATACGCATTTTCCGTGCGCAAAACCCGATATTTTCCGATTCGCGAATACGCAACGCAAATAGAACCGTCCTGTATTTGTATTACTCGGGCACACACACTCACCCCGAAGATAAGCGGACACGTGAACGGGGGAGAGGGTGGCGGTCGGTTTTCCCTTTTACTACTATAGAGTTTCCCCGCATGTCTGGACTAAGGAAGCTAGTTGGTCCTGTTTTGGGGGTGTTTTTTTTGGAACCCCGCAGGTAAGGAGATGAGCAAGCCACGATTTTCACATGCCAGGGAGATTGGTGTAGGCTGTGTATGTTTGGTTGGGATTGAACTATCTGATCTTTGTTCCTGCGAAACGGACTTCAATCGTCGCATTGCATTGTCTGATCCTTTTAATTGATGGATTTTGCTTCACAGATGAAGACAATTATGCACGTGTCGTCATACCCTTCTTTTCTATTAATTACCTGCCATGCGCTTGAATTTGCCATGGCAATCTTTATTTCTTTTTTGGTCATGCCCGAGCAAGGGGGGGCGAGTGGGGCGGGGCCTGACTTTTGTGCCTTGCATTAGCGCGAGAGTAACCTTGTTCTATGGGTGGGGGTGTGAACATGGTAGAATACGAGGATTAGAACCAGTTTTTCTTGTCATGTCCCTCTTTTTGGGCCGACCTTGGTTATACGGATTAAGCGCCGGCTTGAGTTTTTGTGCACATGAGATGTCAGGGTACCTGACAGTAGCGAGATTGCGGAGAGCGATAGAAAGGGAAGGTAAGGCTTTGTTGCTGGAGAATGGGAGTATGGAGGTTTCTGGATTGCGGTGTCGGAGGTTTCTCGTGTATGTGGGTAGGTGTTTGCTCGTATGCTTCAAGAATGATGAGTAATCTAATGTTGGAGGGTATTCATTGAACCGAGGCTTTTCGTGAAAGCGCTATACAAAGTTATCACACTATAGCCACTGAAGTGACTCTTGTGCTTGTTTGCTGTCATTGACCAGGTGACCTTTTACATCAACTGCAGACCTCATACCAGTCAATGTTTTGTTATAACACTGGCCCCTTATGATGCAGCAGACTCAGGTAGCACGATGCCCAATTCAATCCTCAATTATCCGTAAGTTACCAAGAATCCATGGTCACATGATTTCGTGTAAAGGGCGTGTCAGCGCCAGTCCTTAGTCTCGCTCTTGATTGGCGGCTGCCTGCTGAGCCAGGCAACGACGCGCCTTCTAGCCTCAATTAGCGGTGACTGCCTGAGAACCCCGCTTTCACGTCGCTAGATCGACCCTTGCATCATATCTTCAATTGCAAAATGATACAATCGAGCGGTTTGTAGACTTCTGCAGTTTGCCAATGCGGATATTTAAATTTGTATTGTAGTACCATCCTCCCTCACTTCTCCAACCTATCCACTTCATTGCATTGACCCCACCTCCCGCCATTGCAGCAATCTCCAGTCACATCATGAAGGAGCAACAACAACAGATATCAACACCAATGGAGCTTCCTCCGCTCCCAGCCAAACACGACGATTGGATTGCGCATATTTCTAGTCATCCAGACAAGTCGTTGCCTGAGTTGATCGCTCCATACAAAGAATATGATGCCAATCTACGCGAGGTCTTTGCACAACAACCAAATCACCCTGCAATAGGAATTCCCAATGTCGTCCCTATATTTTCAGGGCACGAGCGTGAGCTGAAAGTTCGTGCTCGCAACCTCGCAGACGAAACCGAAGCTGAACGCCAACGCTACATCATGCCCCTCAGCAAAGCGGAGCGCAAGCCCAATGGCTCTCCAGCAGTCGTGACATCGCTCAGCGACTTCCAGACAAACTTTCAATTGTTCTCTGAGTCGTCTCTTGTTGATTTGGACTGGTCCAATGTTGTGGCTGCAGGCAGTTCTGTGGTGACATCCTTATTGCCAGTCTCTGAGCAGCACAAATCTTCAAAGCGAGCCCTCCGAGAATACTACCATCAAAAGTTGGCACCTGCTTCTGATGTCGATCTCTTTCTCTATGGTCTCAGCGAGGAACAGGCTGTTGAGAAGATCAAGCAGATTGAACAGCGCATCAAGGACTCGATCCTGACTGAGACGACTACGATCCGCACCAAGAACGCCATCACTATCGCTTCTCAGTACCCAACTCGCCATGTCCAAATAGTTCTTCGTATCTATAGGTCTATATCTGAGATCCTTACGGGTTTTGATGTCGACTGCTCTTGTGTTGCGTATGACGGGAAACAAGTCTATGCCAGTCCGCGTGCTTTGGCTGCCTTCATGACCCAGGTCAACACGATCGATTTGACCCGTCGCTCTCCCTCGTACGAGAATCGCCTTTCCAAGTACGCGCGAAGGGGGTTTGAAGTTTACTGGCCGCTTCTCGATCGCTCTCGCATTGACCCGACACTGTTTGAACGTTCGTTTGGACGAACGCTTGGTCTTGCCAGGCTGCTGGTTCTCGAGAAGCTGCCCAGCAGCAGTGTTCGAGAAGCGTACGTCAACGAGCGTCGCACAGAGCGTGGCAGACCGCGGATTGATCGATGGCCTACGCGAAAGCTGCGGGGAAATATGAAAGACATGCACGAAGAGGATGTTGCAGAATGGGTGGAGACTGACGAAGTCAGTGACTACCATACCTTCACCATTCCATACGGGCCAAAATATTCTGCACGAAAGATCGAAAGGTTGCTGTACGCGAAGGACCTGCTACTCAATGCAGAGTGGAACCGGCCAAAAACCCGAGAGACAGCACTGCATCGCCACCCTGCATTCTTTGGGAATGCGACCGACGTAATAGGGGATTGTTGTGGTTACTGCCCCAAGCCAGCCACGCCTGAAGAAGAAGAAATTGCAGCAGAAGAGGGAAAGATCTATGTGTCCGGGAATCTGTCATTCATGAAAGATGACCCGGGACGCCAGGCTATCGGGTCATTCCATCCTCTTACCGATGACGACTGGACGGATATGGCCTATGTTGGCAATACCGCAAGACTATGTCGCGCAATTGTAGACTGCGATCTTGAACATGTCCAGGACTGGCTGAGCCAAGAAGGTGCTGATCCCAACCAGCGCGACTACACCGGCCGTACTCCGCTTCATCTGGCAGTCACCACATCCACACTGGAGATTGTACAAGCTCTCATTGATTCAGGTGCTCGGCTTGTCTCCCGCCTGTTTGATGGAAAGACTGCTCTCCATCTTGCGGCTATGCATGGTGAAACTGAAATGGCCAGGGCACTCCTTACCAGGAGCGAATTCAATGAAGAAAAGGAGGCAGAAAAGGAGACTCGTAAGCAGAGCCAACGGCAAGTTCCAAAAGAAGGCAGTGATGTGGCCTCTGCGGAATTGGAAGAGGAAAACGACACGGATGGAGACGAGGCCGATTCTTTTGATGAAGAGTCTGAGAACGATGACGCGATGACGGAAGGCTCTTTCGTGAAAATCAGGAACCAGGAAATGTCAAGTCACGATCCACTACCGGAAGATGCAGACGGTGAGCCCGACATTTACGACATTAATGTGTTGGCCTGGGACACACCAGTATCCGCACTGCATCTTGCCATTGCAAACGGTCATGTGCACACGGTGAAAATGCTCGTCCAAGACTTTGGTGCCGATGTTTTACTGCCCATTAAGCTTGTGAACTCCCATGACAAATCGCCCCGGGCTGCGATTCTCCCATTGGTACTCGCACTGCATCTTCCACCAGAGAAGGCCAAGGAAATGACCAAGTTACTTATCAGTCTTGGTGCCTCACCAGCTCAAGCAGACGTCGACCACATGACAGCATTGAGCTACTTTGCTGCGTATGGAAAGGATCTAGTGCAAACCATGATTTCATCAAATCGACCTGCGGCAGAACGAGCTGTCAACCATCTTTCCTGGAGTAACAGTGTTTATCGACCAGATGCAAAGAGCATTTTGACTACCGCTATAAACGGTAGAGATCCCGCGGCGGTCGAGGCATTGCTGGAGCTCGGGGCTAAACCCGAGGTTGATTTCGATACATACATCTCATCTGTCAAAAGCAATGTTCACATGGGGCGCGACACCGAGAGAAATACATCGTACTTTAGGTTAGGGTTTGAGCAACCTGTATTCTCTGCTCTCCGCTCCGATCTGCCTTCGGTAATCCAAATGCTCCTGGATGCCGGTGCCGATATCAACTGTCTTTCTGAGAATGCCTGGAATAAGCGTCAGTATCCAGATCAATTGCAGAATGATGCGGGTACTTTGTTGGACTTGGTTCGTAAGAGGATTGAATCCCTACGTGTGTTTACGACAATGGGCAAAATCGGTGGCGTGGACGGCAATTTGACTTCCACTGGTTGGGTGGATAACATCAATTACTACGCTCCAGTTGAGCCGATCCCACTACAAGACGGTAGCCATTACCTTCAAGACTACACACCCGGCACTTACTCCCATTTGGTTGTGAGGAAGCAGATTGAAGACGCTAGAACAAAGTATGAGAAAGACTTGAAGACATACCAAGAATGGATAGAGCCCGAGAAAGAGCCAAAGGGTACTGCTGAAAAGAAGGCGGCTGTCAAGTCTTTATTCGAAGAGTTCGAAGCGCTTGAACGCCGCTTAGTCGAACGTGGCGCAAAGACCTTGGAGGAGCTTCACCCTGAGCTTGCAGGCCCAGAAATTCCAGGACCCGATCATTACCGCCCCTACCGGGAAAATCCAAAGCCATGGAGCCAGAACCTGACCTTCCGTCTCCCGGATTTGACTGAGGAGCGAAGGAAAGCTTACATCAAGCTGTTCGAAGCATGCTGGGAGGGTGATCTCGTAACAATCAAGAAGTTCACCCTAGCTATCTGGGGTGACAACCAAACTCCTCTTCAAATTGCCGTTCAGGATTCAGAGGGCTTCTCACCATTATCTGTTGCTTTACTGCGCAAACACTATGAGATTGCAACCGCCATCCTCGAGATTGCGCAAGCGCAATACAACCCAGAGCAAAAGCCCTCGGCTAGACACACAATCCAACAAGAAGACGAAGATGACAGCAGCACCGATGGTGGTCAAGATGAAATCGATATTTTCTCTGAAATTGTGGACGACCAATTTACCATTGAGAATGTTGGTGAGGTACAAAGTCAGGTCAGAAGCACGATAAAACCCCTGGAGATGGTCAACTGGGTTTGCTCTATGTTTGAGTTCCTTGCAAATGATGGTTCGCCATCGAGGCTGGAGATACCCGGTGGCGACCAAAATCAAGAAAAGCGAGGAAAAAACATCGGTCAACCACGCAATCTTTTCCAGTTCGCCGCCTACTGGGATGATGCCAATTTGTTCGAGTTCTTGATTTCGAAGTGCGAAGAATATACCCGACTCGACTCGTCTGCCTCCGATGATACCAGTCGAAAATTCTTTACTTTCTCTGAGCTCGACTTCCTGTATACGATAAGCCTTGGTCGAGTGCAACTGCTCGAGAAAATCATCAAACGCACTGGAGCAGGATTCCCTCTGAACGATCTTGTTGAAAAGAGCGGCATTGAGATACCCATGAAGCCAGAGTACTACCAAGGGCTCTCTGTTCATGGCAAGAAGCGAGCAGATTGGGCAAATGCTGGAAGAAATACCAGTGGCAAAGTTCGTGACATGCAGCATCCACCCTTGCTGTGTGCGGCTCATCATGGGAACCTGCAGAGTGTCGAGTGGTTCTTGAGTGATTCTCCGTTGCGTTGTTATTTACAATTTGCGGATAGTCATCACGACGACATTCGGGTTCAGAATCTTGCAAAAACCAAGGGTGGGCTTGAGGCATCTGTTTCTAAATGGCTTGGTCTGAACTCTCACTTGCTACTACACTGCGTCGTGCTGAGCCGGAAGAGTGAGGAAACTTCGTACTTGCTCCGGCAACTGTGCAAGTCACACCCTGAAGCTCTCGAAAAACGTTCGGTAAGCGGTATGACACCACTGCATCTCGCTTTTGCTCTCCACCGTGTCGAAATGGCCAAGATTCTTATAGAAGCCGGCGCTGATCAAACAACACGGAACAACGAGGGAAACAACATCGTTCACTCAATACTGGAATTCTATCAGTCTTGTAAAGTGAAAACCAGCGTCCTTCGTGGGATATTGGACTTGATCGATACTCGTCTTATTCCTAGCTTGTTTCTCGAGCGAACTCAGAGCGCGCCCGGTGCAGCTACGCCGCTTGCACGCTGGGTTCATGTCAATGTACAGAGTCGGGAATATAGCTTTGACAAGGAAAGGCACGAGGAGACCCTTAAGCTGTTGCTTGAGTTCAGCAAAGGTGAGGATCTTGGGATCATCAATGGTGATGGAGACACCCCTGTCCACGCTGTAGTCAGGTATGGTGCAGACACATTGCTACGCATCATGCTGGACCAACGCCCCGAAACCCTCTTCTTCGAGAATGCGTCAGGACGCACCCCATTCGAAATTGCAGAAGACTCTTATCTTTCAGGAGAGGTCTTCAGCAATCCGCCACCGCTTTCGCCCCCTCAGCGACCTACAAATCCGTATCTATTTGGTACACTATACAACAGGCGCACAAACGCCACAGGTGTACTTAGAAGGGATCCAGAATCGTTTATTGAGAGCCCCGAAGAGTATCGCTCCAGCATTGCGAAATCATTGCATATATGCAGAGACAGTGCTTCAAAGCAGAGCGAGGGCCACAGGAGAAGACTGGTCAGTCTGGTTGAGGCCAACGAAGTCGCAAAAAGACTTGCGGCGAGGACTGAGACCCGATATGTGCGTGCTCAACTAGGCGAACAGCAAGTTACTGAGGGAGAGGATGAGGAGAAGACCCCAAGGTCAGATGAGGTGTCTGAATGGTTCTATTACGAGCTCAGATCAGTTCCCTAGCTGACATGATGGGGCGACTATCAAAAGATGTAGTATTTTCTATGTAGTGCGCAGCCAATGAGGTTGCATTTCAGCTGATAGCGACAAAATATATACCTCTACTGGTAAATCTTAATCATCGTAATGCATCACCAATTGATCATATCAACACATCACGGCAGCCTAACACCAGAAAACTCCGCACAAACCTCCAACAACCTATCCTGCGCCTTTTCATCCTCCGCAGCCTCCAGCGGCTTTCCCTCCCGCTTACTAGGATGAAAATAGCACCCACTCTTCTTCTCCGCCTCCTCTCCTACCGCAAGCATAACATAACTCTCAACCGCCGCATCAATACTCTCCGGCGCCGAACTGCCCCCCATCTTCGTAGCCACCCACCCCGGATCCAACGCATTACTCCTAACCTCCGGCCACCTACGCGCAAACGCCTTTGCAAACATGACATTGTGCAGCTTACTCGCACAATACGCCGGATTCTCACTGTACGCCGCGTCGCCGCGTCTTCCACAGCGGATCATCCAGATCCTCCTCCTTATTCGCATACTTGTGCATTTCGGAGGACAAGAAAACCAGACGTTTGGGGCGGTTAATCAGAGCAGTGAGGACGTACGGGGCAATTGTATTTACAGCAGCCAGCGCGGGGATTCCCTCGCTGGTTTTCCGCAGGGGGCCGCGGAAGAGGCCTGCGTTGTGGATTACGGCGTCAAAGGTACCTAGGTTGTTGACTTGAGCTGCGAGGGCTTTGGTCTCGGAGAGGCTGGACAGGTCGCCTGTTACCACTGTTTCGGCACCGGGACATGCGGTGGTGGCGTCGGATGCGCGTTGGGGGTTACGCGCGTGCAGGACGACGGTGTGGCCTTGGGAGATTAAGCGTTGGGCCGCGGCGAGGCCGAGGCCATCGGAGGAGCCAGTTATGAGGATGCGGGCCATGGTTGTGGAGGGGATGGGATGGGGAGGCGGACTAGGCGTGGTGGTGGTGGTGGTGGTGTGTGTGGTACAGATGTATTTTGGAGTCATTAGTATTGGTGGTGATGGGTGGCCTTGCGTGGTGGGAATTGTCCAATCATGTTGATTTAGGGTTTCATGACGTAGTAGCTGGGGCATCAGCATCGAAATGCTACATACTTTGCCTGGCCTGTGGGGTATTCTTTTCGAGGGGTGGAATTCGGGGACTACTGACAGCCGTGTGTTTTGGGGAGCGGGGCGATTGGGGTGCGGGAACTTCTAAGTACCGATCGGAATGTGGTTACGAGCGCACGTCTCCTTTTTGCTCACTTGTAGCATTCCGCGCAGCACGATGAGAGCACAAAGATCTTGATATCGAGATACATTTTTCTGTCATTCATTTCCTTGTATCCCAGCAAGTGTCAGCGAACCAAGTCTGAGCTTTGCAGCGGTGTGGGAGATAATTGCGCCTTGTCTATGTAGAGGAAGACTTGCGACGGCAGGATGAATACGCCCGAACTCCGTGATATGGTAGCCTTGAAGAAGACTACGATGTACTAGTGGAGTATATATAATACCTTCTCTGCTGCTCGATGAATATCGTATTCTAACCACATCTTTCAAGCAGATACTCAATCTCACAACATGGCAGTATCCGCCCCTCCCCAACTCAAAGTCCTCATCAATGGCGCCGGCATTGCAGGCTCATGTCTAGCCTACTGGCTGACAAGAACACGACTCAATACTTCCATCACAGTTCTTGAGCGCTCGCCCACACCCCGAGTAACAGGTCAATCAATTGAGATTCGCGGTACAGCCATTTCCATAGTCGACAAGATGAATCTCCTGCCCGAAGTACTTGCCCGCAACACCACCGAGCAAGGCACCCGCCTCGTCAACGCCTCCAACAAAATCATCGCAGAATTCGGCAAAGGCGAAGCCTTCACATCCGAGTACGAAATCCTCCGCGCAGATCTCTGCGGCATCTTCCTCGACGCAACCCGCAATGCGCCAAACGTGCACTACCAATACGGCGACCACGTGACCAGCGTCTCGCAAACCCCCGACAAAGTAAACGTGCAATTCCACAGCGGGGCCACCGACTCCTTCGACCTCATCGTCGGCGCCGACGGCTCCACCTCGCGAATCCGCTCGCTGGTGCTCAGTGACGAGGCGCAGAAGAACTGCTACAACTTCATCGGCCAATACATTGCGTACTTTAGCATCCCGCGCATATCATCCGATACAAACCATTGGTACTGGTACAACGCACCAAAGGGCCTTGCCCTCATGCTGCGTCCGCACCGCAACGACAAGACGGTGGGATGCTACATGGGCGTCACCACTCCCGCACACGGGCACCGCGATCCCGCCGCCGAAAAGGCAATGGACGGGGGACCGGCGGCGCAGAAAGAGTTTCTGACACAGTACTTTAAAGATGCGGGCTGGCAGGCCCAAAGGATAATACAGGGAATGCAGCGTAGCGATGATTTCTACATGAGTCGCTCCGCGTACGTCAAGTTGCCTACGTGGACGAACCACCGCGCTGTGCTGCTTGGGGACGCGGCGCACGCGACGTTTGGGAGTGGGACGACGCTGGCGGTGCAGGGCGCGTATTATCTAGCTGGGGAGCTGGGGAAAGTGCGGAAGAGCGAGGATGTGCCCGGTGCGTTGAAGAGGTATGAAGACGCGTTTAGGCCGGTGCAGACGGTGGATGGGACGTTGCCGCCGGGGTTCCCGCAGATGGCGTTTCCGCAGACGGGGTGGGGGTTGAAGCTTAGGGATGCGATTGCGTGGGCTGTGGCGAAGAGTAGGGTGTATAAGTTGTTGCCGAGCGATAAGCCAGATGAGTCGCAGTTGCCGGTGTATGAGTGGACGGGTGCTTGAGAATTCGGTGTGTTGAGATGGGGTGATAGGTTTGTTTTCTCTCAATCTTGCTCTTTTGTAGATCTATGTTGGTTGTAGATCTATGTTGTGCTTAGCTTCAGCCGTGCTTTCTTCGCCCACGATTGATAGATCTTACTGCGTTGAAGAGAAAACTCACAAATCAGAACACAGTATATTAGTCGCTCCCCATGCACGTGATACTGGACCTTAAATGATTCTTATTCTGCAACTAGCCAAAGGTACTGTAAGCGAAAAGGCGAATACACAAACGACGACAAGCGTACCCGCGCGAAGGTCTACTACACGAGTCAGCGACTTCTAAACCCATCTTAGCCTCACACTTCTCCATGTGCATCAAGCTCCTCGGCTAGGTACGCCACTGGCACGCTAAGTAGTTCGTAATGCTGCAAGGTACGAGACGGGATGGAACGAGGTAGGATAGATAGAAGTTTGTTCAAGTTCAGGTCGAGTGCATGGCTTACAAAGCAGATGGGATTCCAATTCCAGATTTCTAGACATAAACGTAATAATATTGAGACAGTCTTTCTACTAACGTTATGCTTACATCAAAGACACGCGATGCGTTAAAACGAGGACGGTTCGTAGTAAAAAAAGGGAAACTCGCGATAGCAAATATCGTAAATAAGGCATTAATTCGTTCCTCCGTTTTGCGCCCAGATAATTGTAAAGGAAAATGGATAAAAGCAGACTCGCCGTTGGAGCCAACAAAGTAAACGACGGGGTTCATGGAAACCCTTTGAGAAGCGGAAGCATCGTCGTATGAGATGTATACAAAGGCTGGAAAGCCAAAAACGCTAAATGCTGACTGTTGCGATAAGAGGCTGAGATGAACGCCGTGCGCTATGATGAGAAAGGAAATTGTACTGTGTGGGTCGTGGGGTTCGTCTAAGCGGCAACCGTGTGGGATCGGAACAGCATCTTCAAGCCGGATGGTTCTTTTTCCTTCTTCCTACTGCTCTCCTTGCCGCTCCTACTTGAGCCGACTTTACTTGCGCTATCCTTGCCGACCTTGCTTGAGCTGTCTTTTCCAACTTTGCTCGAGCTGTCCTTTCCAACCTTACTTGAGGCGCGCTTGGACTCGGAAGACTTGGACTCAGAGGGCTTGGACTTGCTGCGATGTGACTTGTGTCGTGATTCGCTGGTGGTGGTCCTCTTGGACCTGGTGCTGCGGCGCGACTTGAGGTCGTCTTCATCAAGAATACCCGCGTCGCAAAGCTCTCGCGATACTCCGGGGGTGATGAACTCGCCGTCAACGCTGGTACCACAGCTTTCGGCCTCGATGTCCGCGATGCCACGGCGCCACTTCTCGACGCGGCTGAGCTCTTGCGGCTGCAGCTCGTCCAGCTCGTTGCTGGGCTCTTCTATGGCAGCAGGGGCAGTAGCGGCACGAGAAATCATGGGCTGCGCGGGGGCTTCGAGAGGGTCGAACTGGTTTGGGGTTTGGATCTTCTTGATGATCTTGTACCCACCGAGGGCGACAATGGTAACGCCCACGGCAACACCTCCAGCAATCATAAACTGAGGGCTGAGGAGTAGTGCAGCGACTGCAGGAAAGCTGCCCTTGAGCGACATGAGAACACCAGGTCCCATTTTGGTGACGAGGGCGCTAATCTCGGCTAGCGTAAGCGAGACGGCGGCTAGTGCCTCTGGGTTCTTCTGGAGATTCTCGATGATGGCGGTGGCCGTGTACTGGAGGGCGTTTGCCTCATCGAGAAGCATCTCGATCTTGGAGGCCTTTTCTTTCAATTCGAGCTCCTCGATCTGCGGGTCTGGTAGGGGTGGGGGTACATCGCCGTATGCGAGGTCCATGTCGACGTAGGCGGCTTTGGCGCGGGGTTGGTCGGAATGCCTCCTCGCAACCTCTTTTCCGTGTGAGTCTTGGCCATTGAGGTCAGCCTCGAAGCGATGGCGGCTGCTTCGTGGAACGTCGGTATGGCCGCGCTCTAGGGGAGGGCGCCTGGATGACTTTGATGCCTTTGAGCGATGTGAAGTCTGGGAGCGGGTGTCGTCATCGATGCGCAGAGCGGTTATGCTCTTTGAGAGTTCCTTCTCCTTGACAGCGGCATCGCGCTCGGCCTTGATTTCAGCCTTGCGCTCGCGGTATGCAGCCTTGGCCTCCTTGAAGACGCCAAAGATGTGCTTGCTCTGGAAGGGGAGTGGTCAGTCTGTGTATGTAGTAGTATGTATGTAATGTAGGCGAGGGTAGGGTAAAAGAGGGGCTAGCTGAATTTGTCGACTACTTACACTGCTCACCACCTTGCCGCTCTTGTTGATCACTGTAATGGTTTCACCGAGTCCTACGGCCATCCTGACGTACTAGGGACAGGTTGTTCCTGCAGTATGCACAGCGGGCGGGACGACGGGGTTTTTGTGCGACCAGAAGGGCGTTGCGGTGAGGGTGGTTGTACTTGTGGTTCCGGTGTGTGAGGCGGTCAGGAGGGATCAATGCTCGCGGAAACGGCAGCTGGCGCAACTCCACAACAAGGTTCCACCTGGGCCGTCTGTTTGTCGCGGGCGGGTGGCGGGCTCTATAAGGGGAGTGCGAGTCACAGTTTCTGGCGGGATTACTGTCGGGGGTAGATTCGGGAGTGAGGCGATTTTGCGCCAACTGCGACACGCAGGCCATGATGACAGTGGAACCGCTGCGCGGGCGCATACTGGCCAGAAGCAAGATGCATCGAAGGCCTCCACGCGACTGCCGTGTCGTCTCGGCCAGTACAGGAGGGGCAAGGCGGGCAGGCGTGTCGCCGTGTCAATGGGTGGTGCTAGAGGCGCTACCATGGCGGCCGGATATGCGGGCAGCGAGACGCTGCATCAGATCCCTTTGGGCACGCCATGTCATTGGTGCGCGGCCCAGCCACTGTGTTTCTTGCTGCCGACGTGGTGAACGTGTCGCTGCTGCGAGTGGCCGACTAGCCCTCTGTGCTGCCTCAGCTTCTGCGCGTGCTGATGCCATGGTGCAGACTGTGGTTGATGCCCAAGCTGCCGCCCGGGGGGGGGGGGGGGGGCTGCGGGATTTGCGTGACCAGCTGGCAGCGCTCCATTCTGCTTTTCGCTACTTTTCGCTGCTGGGGGGCGGGGGATGCTGGTCTTGACCGGCCCTTGACTGGCCCTGGAGTGGCCCTGACCGGTTCCAAACTTTCCAACCGCGCCTGCCGTGGCGCAAGCTGTGGCGTATGCTGTGGCGGTGCCCCTCAACTCACCTAAGCTGTCGTTTCCCCAAGGGTCTGGACTGCCAGCGGCCAGTGCCAAGGCCTTCTCTCTGCTTCTGCTGCCCGTCTCTCTGCCTGTGACTACGTACCACCCAATATTTGCAATACTTGTAGCATGCATGGCTGCGTAAGACGTGGTCATGCCCCTTTATTTTTCTCTTCTCTTTTTCCCTCTTTTCCCCGCAACACCATCAGCGGCTGCTGCCGTCCAAGTGTAGAGTACCATCATGTGGCTTGAAGCTCACGGCTCCTCGCCGTCACCCCACGTCCACCGACTCTCAGGCTGCTTTTTCATATATTCACCGGTAACGCCAGCTTAGGTTTCCACCTACGTAGGTATCGAATTGTCCGGCGCACTGGCCATGGCCTTTGCTATCGGAGTGTCGGTATCGTGACTCTACTGTCGGCTGGGGGACAGAACACGACTTCACACCGTGGACCGACGATCACCGCTCCATTCTTAACGTTTGCAATGGCTAACGGAACACACCTGCTCCTTTAAGTATGTGTCGGCATGCGGATGTGTGTGTGTTCCAGCCACCCTCTTCCACGTCCTTTCGTGTAGCACTGGCCAAACGGAAGCCGGGCACAAAGCCGTCGTCGCTGCGACTGTCATGACTGTAACTCCGGAGCTGGCTCTCCGCAATGCGAACACGTATCCGGCTTCGCAAACGGTCAAGCAGATCACATTTATGCAATGCAATGCTAGCCCTGAGTGATGGCCAAGCGCTGGTTGTAGCGTAGACAGAATGCTCTCAATGGAAGGGGAGACGTTCCCATACACACATATGGACTGCACATCGCCGTGAGCAGCAGTAGCCTTCTTCTCATCACACTGCCATAGTCATGCAAGGTAATCAGGCAAAAGAAACCAGCGATAAAGGGGCTAAGTTACCTCGTAACTTGGTTCTGATACACCCTTCAAGCCCAAGGATGGCGCCATCTCAGGGTAATCGCTCGCCATGTACGAGCGGTGACGCTGATACCATGTGTGAGCACCAGTGCTTGAGCTCTCCTGCGACTTCGTCAACGTCGAGAGACGATGAGACGTTCTCCGACACGACACTCGACGATGTACTCGAAGACGACGAGCCACTATCTCCTTGTTCAGATACCTTGACCAGGAGTACGTCTTCGCATTGCACAGACACTTCTGCGCGTGCCATTTTCCCTTTGCATCTCATTTCAGGCTGCAGCTCAACTGGTAGAAACACAATGTGTACCTTTTCGCGGACCATTACCGCAGAAGAGGGCAGGAGGAAGTTTTTGGAATTGAGAGGTACGTAAGGCGCGTGACCGTAACCGTGGTTGAAGTGTGGTGTGCCGGGCACGTAGTCAATGGACAGCCCCGCAGGCGGCGCACCTGGACCCTAGAGCTCCGTCATCGCTTCGCTCGCTCCCTCGCCCGCCCAAACCATCACACGCGAGCATGCAGGAACAACACCAAGGGTTCACTTTGGAGCCAGGCTGACCATGCCCACAGCAGTCCCTCCGCACAATGACACCGCCATGGGCACCGTGGGCACAGCAGACCCGGGCCACTCCCTCCCGTTCGTAGACCGAACGCCCGCGCTCTCCCACCGCATGAAGCACGACAAGTCTATCCTAGCACTGGCACTGTCCTCGCAATACATTTTTGCCGGCACACAGGGCGGGGAGATATTGGTATGGGCAGCAGAGAATTCTGAACTTCCTTGCATCTGATGGCGAATTAGGTCTACAGTCTCGACACCTACGAGCTTCGTAGAGTCATACATGCGCACAAGGGCAGCGTGCTTGGCTTGTGCCTGTCGCACGACCGCAAATGGCTCTTTTCAAGTGCGGCAGACCCAATTGTCAATGTTGGTGATTACCTCCGTCGACTGAGCGTGTGTACTAACTCGTCAGGTCTGGTGTACGTCGACATTTAAGCATCTCTATGCCCTCTGGTCTCCCTATGACATTGGTGACATTTTCTGTGTCGCCTACTCGTCCCAACACCATACTGTGTACCTTGGCGCCCAAAACACAAGCATACAGTGGTATGATTTGAAAGAAAAGGATACCCGGCCCACGCCCAGCCTCTCTTCGCGCCCGACTGAGCGCAAGAACAGATTCTTTGACTCACTCGGGCCCGGTGGTGCCCAAACACCAAGGCCTGCTGGCGCAGACACAAGGCCGCGAGATGCAGCGGGTGGGCAGGAACTGCAGATCGACAATCACGACATTTGTCAGTTTGCCCACTATGGATACGTACACTGCATGCTCGTGGGGAGCGGCATACTGCACGAAGCACCATCGGAAGAAGTGCTAGTCTCCGGAGGCGGAGACGGACGCATCCTGTTATGGAGAATAGATCCATCACAGCGGGGCAGCATATCAGCTATCTGCACGCTCGAAGACGGGAGAGAAGAGGGCGAATCAATCCTGTCCCTGGCTAGAGAAGGGTCTTTCCTGTACAGCGGACGCTTCGATGGCGAAGTCAACGTGTGGGACCTGGAAACCAGGCAACTAGTGCGAAGCCTAAAGGCGAGCACTGGCGACGTGCATACGTTGTCGTTAGGCTCCGGTGTCCTGTATGCCGGTGGTAAGACTGGTGCTATGCAGGTGAGTCTTAGTATGAGCGGGCTTGAACGGACCAATCTAACGTGCTCAGAAATTCAACGAGCATTATGAGACCATTACGACTTTCCAAGCACATGACGGCTTGATTCTCGCATCAGCCTTCACCCGCTATGCAGACAAGTCAATACTGGTCACGGGCGGCAATGACAACACCGTCGTCGTATGGGAAGTCAAGGATTGCGCGGAGCCGGATGCCGCTACAAGAAGAAGCAATAATGGTGCGTACACGCTGGCATTCGTCAACCCACACTTCTAATGTGTTTTGCAGATCTCATGGTGGAGTCTTTGAGTCAATTCGTCTCGTTTCGGACCGTATCGTCGCTGCCCAAGTATCGTGCAGATTGCCGCCGAGGTGCATCCTACCTTAGGTCGGTTTTTCAGAATTTCGGTGCCGTAACCGAGATGATCAACACTACCGACTACAACCCAATAGTATTTGCCAAGTTCCGTGGTAACCCCGCCACGGCGGCATCGCGAAAGAAGATTTTGTTTTACGGCCACTACGATGTCATACCTGCAGAGAACGAGCAGCGCAAGTGGAAGCATGATCCCTTCACTCTTACAGGAGAAGGGGGCTACTTGTATGGCCGTGGTGCATCTGATAACAAGGGGCCCATCATGGCCGCCATCTATGCCGCACATGAATTGGCCAATGAGCAGAGCTTAGATTCTGACATCATCTTTCTCATCGAAGGTGAAGAGGAAAGCGGCTCTCGTGGTTTTGAAAAGGCCGTGCAGGCTAAGAAGGACCTCATCGGTGATGTTGACTGGATTCTCCTAGCAAACAGCTACTGGCTCGATGACCATGTGCCATGTCTGACGTATGGACTTCGAGGCGTAATTCACGCTACTGTGCAGATTGAGAGTAAGCACCCGGACTTACACAGTGGTGTTGACGGCAGTGCATTACTGGATGAGCCGCTCAAGGACCTCGTCATGTTGCTTTCAAAATTAACTGCTCGACATGGCAAAGTCCAGATTCCTGGTTTCTACGACCCCATCTTGCCTCTGGCTGATGACGAAAGGGAGCTGTACACTGAGATCACTAAGACGCTCTTGCGCTACAACCCTGACCTAGGCGATGCAGAAGAATTGGCGCAGTCACTGATGCGTAGATGGCGCGAGGCTTCTCTTACCATACATCGTTTCCAGACATCGGGCCCAGACAACTCGACCATTATCCCGCGTCTTGCAAAGGCAGCTCTGTCTATCCGTCTAGTACCCAACCAAGAAGCCGGGGATGTAGCCCAGGCGCTGAAGTCATTTCTACAAGATGAGTTTGAGCAACTCGACTCGAAGAACGAACTCAAGGTGACCATTGACCACCAAGCCGAGCCATGGCTGGGCGACTTTGGCAACGAAATATTCCAGACGCTCGAACGTGCCATCATGTCAGTATGGGGCCCATGGCTGGGTCAAAGGAGAGAAAGCACGTCGGCTGCAAAGGCCTCGGACTACTTTTCAGCGCACTCAAAGAATGCAACAGAAGTCAGTGCTGCTAAGAAATCCGCCGTCCCCACAACATCCAACACGCTCGCCAATTCATCTGACCCATCTCTTTCCACTGCCGTCGATCCAGGTTCTGAAGCTTCAACGCCGGATTCGACAGAGGAGAAGTTTACTCCCCGCAAACCTCTTTATATCCGCGAGGGTGGCTCAATCCCCAGCATCCGGTTCTTGGAAAAGGAATTCAATGCGCCTGCTGCGCATCTTCCGTGCGGCCAGGCGAGTGATAGTGCGCATTTGGATAATGAGCGCCTAAGGCTGGTGAATCTTTACAACACTAAGAAGATTTTCAAGGAGGTGTTTAGGGAATTGCCGAGGAAATAAGGAGGGGGTTGGTGGCGGCGGTGGTATAGGGGTTGGAGTTGGGGAGTTTACTAGTCAATGGACGGCGAAGGGGTGATTTCCACATAGACCAGGAGTGTTTTTTTCGTAGTGAATAGGCAGGTGTAAGTCTACGGTGTTGACCGGTTGAAGCATGTTGCCTTTGGCTTTGGCTATATTCAACCATGGCCATTGTGGCGGTTTGGCATTTCCTGTTTTTCGAGCTTTTTATGTATTTTCCCGTTCCTTCATGGAGCCATAGACTACTTGAAAACCATGTCTTGTTTAAGAAAATGAATAGCGCTGACAAAATGCGTTTCTTGCCTTGTATACATACACACAGACATATGCACACTATCCCCGCACCATACCGCATTCCCTTACTTACTTACGCCCGGCCGTCCCCGCATTCTTATCCCAAGTGGGGTAAAGAAAAAAAAGTTTAAGCTTCCGGCCCCCGCCCGCCCCTCCCCTTTTGGTTTCCGCCAACACGCATCATCACCCTTGTTATTCTCAATCTTTCCCCCCCACCCTTCCACTCTTCCCACCTCCTACCCTGCCATCTTTACTAAGCATATCTATCTATATATATATTTTTCTTCTTCTTCTTCTTCTTCTTCTCTTTTCTCTCTCTTTTTTTTTAAACACCTGAAACATCTCACTGCCGTGATTTTCCGGTTTGTTTTCAAGTTGTTCGTCAGTTCTGTTGAGCAGCCAGCACAAAGCATAAGCACAAGCACAGACCAGAAGAGGATCGATCATCTTGTTAGACTAAACCGAGGTGGTAGAGAGATCAGACCAGAGTTGCGACTTCTGGGGTCGAGGTAAGTAAAAGGATGTTTCGGCCGCGGAAGTTGCGGGATATGCTTGTAGATGAGGGTTTGAAGCGAGAATAAGGGGGGGGGGCGTGCGTATATGTGTGTGTGAGAGAGATTGCAGGGCGTATGAGATGTGGATGTTGGGACTAACTGAGTCATCCAGAGGGGTGTATTATTTGGCTGAAGTTGAGGCAGCTTTGTCGTTTTTCTTTCTTTTTCTCACGGTACATGACAAGATAATCGACTAGACGCATAACCCAGCATCTCAACTACACGGTCAAAACATCGAGTTTTTCATAAGGGAAAGAAAGAGAAGATGGGAGTCTTTTACGAAACGATTCCGGATAGCCTGGTATCATGGATCCATGAACAACAAATGTTCTGTGTGGGCACTGCACCGCTATCGGGCAATGGACATATTAATATCTCGCCCAAAGGAGGCCAAGGACAGCAGTTTGGAGTGCTGGATGAGCGCACGTTTTGGTACATGGATATGACGGGGAGTGGGGTGGAGACGACTGCACATTTGCATGAGCCAGGGAATGGGCGGATTTGCGTAATGGTAAGCCTCAAGTCGTTTGTTTGTTTTCCTCACAAGAGTCTCGGTTGTTTCTTCCTCCTTACAAAACGTGTGGGTTTGCGAGTCACGATGAAATGCATACCATGACTACCTTTCTAACAGCCAACCTTTGGGCGGAAATATAGTTTACGGCATTCACAGGACCCCCCAAAATTGTTCGAATCTGGGGCACAGGACGAGTCTTGGAAAATGGAACCGCAGAGTACGAAGCGTTTGTGCAAGACCGCAAGTTGTCGTCTGCATTCAGCTCGCGCAGCATCATCATCGTCGACGTGCACCAGTGCGGGACGTCGTGCGGCTTCTCCGTCCCGTACTACGACTTTGTGGGCCACCGGGATATCCTGGAGAAGCACTTTGCGACCAAGCAGAAAAAGTACGAGGAAGGAAACAAGGAAGAGTCAATGGATAGGTATTGGGCGTGGAAGAGTCAGAAGAGTATTGATGGGCTGCCGGGTATGAAGAGGGGGGTCGAGTTTGCGGAGAAGGAGGGTGTGGCGCCGCTGAAGAAGATGGTGGGGAGGTATGCGCCTGAGAATCAAGCGAAGGAGGGAGCGAGAGAGAAGTTGGAGCCGGTGCATTTGCTGCTTGTGTTGTTGCTGGGCATTGTGATTGGGGGTGCGATGGCGCTGAGTGTTGTTACGCCGGAGCGGTTGCAGGCGTTGAGGGAGAAGAGTATGGTTGTGTGAGTAGATGTAGAGGAGAGACGTTGTGTCTAGGGCTGTTAGCTGTGTTGCTGTGACGTAGGAATTAGTAGCAGTAGCAGTAGTAGTAGTGTGGCGTTTTTTTATTGTTGGTGCGTCAGAATGCGAGCGTCTTTGGGGGGAACAGAGGACGGGCTTGGTAGATAGTCATGTGACTAGTGTTGAGTATATACTACACCACGTATGGATGAGGTTGCATTGGCGACGGATATCTCGGTCTTGGGGTTGCCTGGCAAAGGGATATCACTGCTTATTGCAGGGCAGAGTGGTGCGGGTGGCGGCGTTTATGCCGCGGCCGTTGAACAGATGGAGTATACGAGTCGGGCGTCGAGGCGTCTTAGGCGGGCTAGGCGGGTAAGGGAGGGGATGGCGATGGCGAAGCGAGGAACAAGTGGGGGGCCTGGCCTAACCCACTGCCACCTCAGTGTCGGGAAGGTGCAGGCGGTCCCATTGCTCTAAAAGTATACGTGTGATTGCCCATTGGTAGCCGTGTGCGTCTTGTAAGTATCAATAGGCGCGCTCCCGTGGTTTGCGCGCATGCATGGGGCGGGCCCTGAGTAACCCAAGTACACATAGACAGAACACACGCCCACACACGCTCGTGGGGTTGCACGCCCATATATACACACACGTGCTAGCCTGTCTTGTCCCCTGTGCTGATAGACGATATCGCCATTTCTCCACCAAGGCGGGCAATTTACAGGACCCGTAATGGGTGGATAGGCAAAATTGCCGTATACCACTTACACACGCACATACACATGTACGTACATAATACATACGGATACCAAGCTCACGTGTGCGCGAAGACCTGCCGAGGCCTAGCTTGCACCTGCACAAGAGCTTAATCTATCCAGCCGACCATGGCGATCGTTCCAATCCCCGGCCTTTGCTCTATCAATCCAACACACACATGACGTTCAATATACGCCAAAGGAATGCCGCTCCTCAGCCGCCCTCGTAAAGGATAAGCACCATGGTTTATCGTATTGTAATACTAACGCCCACTCCGTTGTGTCGGCGCAACCCCCCATTACTCTTGCCGTGACACGATTGGCCGACTCGGACCTGATCCTGCATACATTATCACCACGGTTAGGAAAAACTAGAAGGAAAAGAAAAATCTGTCGTGGACTCGGATCCTCCTCGGTCGCATCGCAAAGCTTATCTTACGCCTCAGTGGTTCTGTCATGTCTTGTCACTGGGTGTGTGTGTGGGCGGTGGGCGCCGATGTTCCTGGTGCTGGAGGGGCAAGCCAGAGACGCCTTGTCCGACGCCCATGTCTTGGGGGCCCAGAGAATATTCCAACATGCGACGACGCGGTGGATCTCTAATGAGCGGCTGCGAGTGCTGGGGCGAATGGGCGAATGGTAGCGCGGATGGTGTGCTTGGCCAAGTCGGCGGTACTGGCTAAGACCCCAAGCTTCCAGCCATTATCTTGTTCTCGCGGGCTAAGCGGGCGGCGAACGGCCGTGGCATCCATACGCCCCTGCTCGGTCTTATCCGATCTCTGTCGTCTTTTTTTTCTTCTGTTGCATATCTCAACACCAACGCTCCCTGATATCGGCCGCGAACGACCGTGGTTGGCTGGCTGGCCCAATGGCACCATAGAGCGACCCGCAAATAGCCGTCTTCAGGCCCTCAGCAACCTGATACCACGACGAGGGCATGCATGGCCCGCACACCCATCCGCCGGGTCTAGAGAAGCAAATGGGACGGTGGTAGTGCATCTAGGCGGTGCTTGGGGGGGTTGGTAGCGGGGTAGCGGTGCCCTCTTTTAGGCAGGAGATAAGAGCAAGGCCATGCCACCTGGGCGCCACCGCGAATTGTTATCTTGCACGGGGCAAGCTCTCTTGTCCTCCAGCTTGCCAGTGGTGGTTAGCAACTTGGCGAGGCTTGAGTAGGCCGTACCGCCTCGGCGATGCAGTGCGAAAACAGCTTCGTGCCGCTCCATTCACTCACGCGCCGATTGCCCTCTTGGGGGTCCCAGCCGCGGTGGCAATGCCCGCTGTGCTGATGCCACATACCGCGACACTGTCAATACGCCGCTAATCCTTGCTCCAGCGTGCGCGCCTTCCTCATTTGGCCTCAGCCTGGGGAGCACGACGTTGGTCCCATCATTTACGTGCTCTAATTAAATACACCTTCACTCGGCCATTTCTCACCCCTTCTGCTTCTTCAGGGCCTCCTCTCTCTCCCGCTCTTCCTCACTGCGACAATTCATATAGCTGCCATTGGCTGCTCTTCGCAACAGGCCCAGATTCCCCGGTCACTCTCTTCCACCATCGCCTACCATGCCTGTCGGCGACGCTGGTGAAGTCGTACGTCCCACCCTCAAAATAAATTGTCCCATCGCAATGGCGCCTCCCTAACACGTTTTTACAGCAAGCCGTTGGCTTGGACCCTGCCCTGGTTGACGCCTCGGGTGACCCCACACGCCAGCACCCTGAGCAACACACTGTTGGCGCCCCCGCCTACCTTCACTCTGAGGGAAAGGCCACGCTTCAGGATGCCTATCTCTCAGAGGAAGATGACTTCCCCACCGAGGAGGAGCTCGCTACCCTTCCTCGTGTCCCTGCCAGGATCCCATGGAAGATCTTCACTGTATGTTTCTTCTCACACTGACCGCACGTGAGAGCCCACGCTGACACAATGGACCAGATCGCCTTTGTTGAATTGGTCGAGCGCATGAGTTACTACGGTACCGTTGCCGTCTACTCCAACTACATCGCCAAGCCCCTCAAGACTCCCACTGGCGCTGCCACCCACCCCTCCGATGCCGAAGCCCAGCCTGGTGCCCTAGGCATGGGCAAGCAAGTTGCCTTCAGCTTGACCACTTTCAACGCCTTCTGGGTCTACGTCTGCCCTCTTTTCGGTGCATGGATTGCCGACACCTACCTCGGCCGTTTCAAGACTATTCTCTACTCCGTCCTTGTTGCTGAAGTCGGTCACCTTATCCTCGTCGCTTCCGCCGCCCCCTCGGTCCTCAAGCACCCCGACACTGCTCTCGGCGTCTTCATTCTCGGTCTCATCATCATGGGTCTCGGAACTGGAACTTTCAAGCCCAACATTTCTCCCCTCATTGCCGAGCAGATTCCCCAGGAGAAGATGCGTGTTGAGACCCGTGGCACCACTCGCGTCATCGTCGACCCTGCCGTTACCACCACCCGCATCTACAACTGGTTCTACTTCTTCATCAACATTGGTGCGCTTGTCGGTCAGATCAGCATGGTTTACGCTGAGCGATACGTTGGTTTCTGGTTGGCTTACTTGATCCCCACCGTCATGTTCATCATTGCCCTTCCCGTTTTGCTCATCTGCAAGAAGTTCTACATCCTCCGTCCCCCGAGCGGCAACGTCATGGGCCCTGCTTTCAAGCTTCTCTTCAAGGCTCTTGGTGGTGGCTTGGTCGCCAACCCCATCACAACCTGGAAGAACTGGAACAGCGGCAACATGTGGACCGCCGTCAAGCCTTCCACTCTTGGCGCCAACAAGCCCAGCTGGTACAACTTTGATGACGCCTGGGTCGATGAGGTTGCTCGTGGATTCGCTGCTTGCTCCGTCTTCTTCTGGGTCCCCATCTTTTGGCTTGCCTACCGCCAGATGGACTCTAACCTCACCCAAATGTGCGCGACCATGAAGCTCGGTGGTGTCCCCAACGACATTCTCTCCAACCTTGACCCCATCGCCATTATCATCATTGTAAGTTGACTCGGCGCTACTGATTGCGAAAATGTTACTAACCTAACCTCAGGTGCCAATCATGGATACCATCGTGTACCCCTTCCTCCGCAGGCGTGGAATCCGCTTCACTCCCATCAAGAAGATCACTGCCGGTTTCATTCTCGGAGCCTTCGCCATGGTCTGGGCCGCCGTTCTCCAGCACTACATCTACAAGACCTCTGGTTACTACCAGACCCACGACCCCGACTACAAGACTGACATCTCCGTCTGGGCCGTTACCGGTGTCTACGTCCTCATTGCCATTTCCGAGATTTTCGCCTCGGTCACCACCCTCGAGTACGCTTTCACCAAGGCACCCAAGAACATGAGGTCTCTTGTGCAGTCCGTCCAGCTCTTCACCACTGCTTTCTCCGCCGCTCTCGCCCAGGCTTTCACTCCTCTAACTGCCGACCCTCACATCACCTGGAACTACGGCAGTGTCGCTATCATCTCTTTCGTCACTGGTATTGCATTCTTCTTCGCCTACCGCACCATGGACAAGCAGGAAGACACGCTCAACCTGTTGCCCACTGGTCACATTGGCACGGAGGAGCAGGCTGCCGACATTGAGAGGCGCCAGAGTGTCGGCGCCACTGCTGAGAAGCACTAAACGTCTCGCATTGATGTAGATGATGCGAGGTGATTTGTTAGACATTTTACTGTTGAATGCTAAAAAAAAACGACGATATACCCCAAACTCATGTGTTCAAGAAGTGCAATGAGATTGATTGCATGTTTGCTGTCGCGGCTGGCAACATGCTCTATACCTAGTCCCGAATTAATACAAATGTTTGTTCAAAATAAACGCTGTTTGCTATGTCTTGTGAAATGATTACCTTTGTCTCAGACATTGTTGGCCATGCCTTGAAATAACTGCATTTGACGTCCCTCTATTGATTCTTAGGCAGATATATGCTCATCTTCGATCCATGGTCGTCCCCCAACATCTGCGGTCTTGACAGGTGTTGATTGGGGTTGCTTAGGGGGTTATCTCGGTGTTCCATGTCGTGTACCATGGTTGAGCGCTTTGTCGACTACGAGCACCAATGGTACCATTCGCTTTTATCTTGTCGCAATGGCAACTAATATATATCAATACCCCCCTGGCCCCGTCGACTTTTACAACCTTTTGACATCTTCTCACTTCTCAGACACCAAGACAGTGTGCAGCAGCAACGTTTCTCATAGTGACCACACACATACCACAACGACAACGACAACAGCAACAACAACGCGCCAATATGTCTGACACGGATTCACAACGCTGGCCTCACAACGCACTCCTCACAATGCCGTCCGCCACGGATTATATAAAAGTTTTCAACAAGCTCTCTCCACTTTGGAATGAGCAGCTACATCACTGTACAACTCTCTCGGCCTTTATTCCACATTCACGCAAACGCATATCACCGAAGTCTAATACGCCGTACTATCCAAGTCACTATTATTCAGAGATGGCTTCTTTTTCTCCCGTTATGACACCAGGAGAACTCAAGAACTTTCTCGAGGCGGAAACACGAGACAATAGACTCACACAGTCTGCAATTTTCCAGTGCTGGCTACAAGGCGTCGTCGGGACCAACTCATCTATGAGTAACAGTGCAGCAACCCTCGCACTGCAGGACGCGATTATAGTTGGACTCGACGCAGAGTGGTACGAGCACGACTTAACGAAGATAACCGAGTTGGGAGTGTGCATCCTCGATCCTCGGAGCATTCCAAAAGCCAGCAGTAACAGTGCAACAGGACAATCTTCGGCGTGGGACATCCTCGCATCGCTAGAGACACACCACGTACGCATCAAGCCCCACGCGCACCTGGTCAACAAAGACCTCTGCAGCGGATACCCGGAAAACTTCCAGTTCGGAAGCACCACCTTTGCAAGCATCTCGACTGCCCAGGAGATGCTGCGGTCTATCTTTCTGAGGCACGACGAACACAGCTCTCCCCGCCCCGTCATCTTCATCGGGCACGCTGTTGAAAACGACTATGAAGTCCTCAAGGAGCGCTTCAACATCGATGTCCTAAGTCTAGGCACAATCATCACAACCCTAGACACTCAAACCATCGCTATAGAGCAATCCCTCTCCCCCAACAACCGTCTCGTCTCCCTCAAAAATCTCCTAGCGCACTATGGACTCCGAGAGCAATACCTGCACAACGCCGGCAACGACATCGTCACAACCCTCACCACCGCCCTCCTAATGACCCACCCCACCTCCTCCCCAACCCCCGCAGCTCTTTCCTACGCAAACCTCAAACCCCTCCTAACCGCCTTCAACACCGCCTCCTCCCCGCACCGCACTTCCTACGGCCAACTCCGCTACTGCACAAAATGCGACTCGGAACTCCACACGCTACGACATTGCAAGGTATCAATGCTGCACTGCGAGTTTTGCGCCAGAGACCCAGAGCTAGCGGGACAATGCTACACGCATAAAACCGAAAAGTGCGTGGAGAGTGCAAGGAAGAAGACGCCCAAGACGCAAAATGCGGTGCCGTGCGAGCGGTGTGTGCAGAGTACGGATCCGAAGCGGTATAAGGGGCGGGGAGCGTATGGGCATGAGAGTGAGGAGTGTCCGTTTGAAGGATAGAAATGTTGATATTTTAACTTTTCATGTTTGAGAGTCTTTTTTGGAGCTGTTTAAGGGGGGGAGGGGGGATTTTTTTGGTTTGTTTGTTGTTTATTGTTTTTTTTAATTGGTTGGGGATATATAGATGGTACTTTGAGAGTACACATCTAAGAGCCAGTATTCCCCCCCCCCCATTTTCTTTTTTTGTTTTTTTGGTTTGATAGATGAAAGTAGTTAGCGAGGCGTTACAATCTCCCCCTCCCTTGAGATTTCCTTGAATTCAAAGAAGAAGAAAAATTTACTCAAAGTTAAAAAATAAAGAACTTTTCTTTGCATTGTGCCTAATATTGTGAGATCAAAGCAAACATCACGACGCCCGCATAACCCCCTCCATCCACGGATACACTGTAGCATTCGCCTCGGGATACCCCATATGCAGTCTCTCCCTCAAAAACCTCATTTCCTTGGGACTTCCATATTCCGCCAGCAACATACTATCCTCGACGGGCATACACCCATCCAATACGCCATTCACCAGCAACAACCTACAACTTTGCATCCCCGCCCCTACAACCGCCACGCCCTCGCCCTTGCCCGTGACAAGACTAAACTCATCCTGACACTTCTCCATCACCTCCTCAAACGACGCATACCCGTACTTTTGTCTGTAAGCCTCTTCGAGGCCAAAGGGGTACTCATGCTTCTCCACCTGCGCCAGCCACTCCCGTCCAATGTAGTGATGTGTTCCAGCGCCGTGTCCCACGCTGCCCACTAACTTCTCACGATGCGTGTGTGCGAGACGGATGGCGTAGTAGCCGCCTGCACTCAGGCCCCACGCAAGCACCTTTTTGGCATCGAGATAAGGGGTTTGGGCAATCCAATCCAAAATGCTGGAGAAAAGACGGTCAGAGGATAAAGGGTCACGCCTGTTAGCGGGGCAATCGACGGTTGTGCCGGGGATGTCGCACAGGACGGTGGCCCAGCCGCGGTTTAAATGTTCTTGGGTGCGTTCGGTGTTGTCGGGGCGGTGGCCGTCGAGGCCTGTTATCAGCAGGACCGTAGGAAAAGGACCATCACCCCCGGGTTTTCGAACGTAAACGGGGATTTGGGGCCCGTCACCGTTGGAGGCGTGGGTATGCGGTATGGAGATGTCGAGCATGGGCTCGTCCCAGAGTTTGGTGCCGCGGAGGTAGACGCTTTTTTGCTCTTCGAAGACCTGCTTCTTGAGATCTGTGCCGATGTAGGGGAAGCGGGAGAGTCTGTAGACGGCGTTGGCGTTTAGGTATAGCTTTCTTGCCGCTTCTTTGTCCTTGGATTCCATGTCTTGGGCTTCTTTGGCTAGTCTTTGGGCGGTGGGGAGAAAGGCGTTGGTGTATGCATCTTCGTAAGGATCGTTGATGTTGTTGTCGATGAGGTGCTTGAAAATGGGCTCAAAATCCTCAAACTTTCCGTCGTGGAATGGATAGACGCCTTTGGTACAGGGAAACTTCCAGCGTTGTTCCCATAGTTTTTGGATGCTACCGCGGTGACCGTACTCCTTTGTGAAGAGATCACCCAAAATCCAAGTTCCGTCAGGCATGGTGTGGAAGAATTCGTAAATATATTGAAAAACAAAAGACTAGAGCAATGTCTCAATCGCCCTGCATAGAGTGATCCTTTGCTCGTATGGCTGTATAAAGTATCATGTTCGGCGTTGGCGGGGCCGGATTGGATTGACTCGGCCCGGACGGGCCCCCAAACGGGTTTCAAGACCCAACTTTAAAAGAGTCTTGGACGTTACAAAGTCACCAGTTAACTCTTAGAGGTGGGAATTAGTGAGAATTTCTGATCCGCGCTAGCTCAAGGATACTCCTCATTGTCCTCCTCGCTAGCCTTGTGCTTCACATATTCCCTCAACACTTGCACAAGCTTTGCTCTCCCGTCTTTTCTTTCAAACACTTGTGCATGGTCCACGGTAGGCCACCATATAGTTTCCATACCATGGCCTCTCCATTCAGAGTCTTTCCAACTATAATCCTCGCCCTTGAGATCGGCGTTATTCAAATACTTGCCGACAGTCTGAGTGTCGACAATAAGATCCCGTCCACCAAGGCTCACTGTCACATCCCGACCTCGCAAATCCTCTTTCCAAAGAATATTCTGTGCCCAGAAAAAGTGTCGTGCTAATGTATGTGCGACCATCATGTCGGTTGACGCAAAGTAGTACAGCTGATGTTCGTTTGCACCTCGCGGATGACGCGCTGTAAAGTTGTATGCAACGTCTGGAAGGTGTAGAAGAAATGTGACTGGGTCGATGAAGACCATGGGCCCAATCTTTGCAGCAGTGGCAGGGTTGTGAATGAGATGCGTGGAGATCACAGAGCCGTAGGAATGGCTAGCAAGGACTACTTTGTCGAAGCCATGACGCTCAAGGATCATATCAATCTGGCGACACATCTCGTCTCTGCCAGGCATGGTCTCAGTGATGCGGAAGCTAATGGGCATAAGTTCGATCGCAATAACACCGACTTGACCATCCTCGGCTGCAAGTGGATCGTGCTTGTTGATCTCGGTCAAGAACTCGATATATGGGTGTAGGCCGATACCAATTCCGTGGATGAAGAGAATAGGTAAGCGTGTTCTCGAGGTATGTGGCCTATACCAGTAGCTCAGGTTTCGAGCGGGTGAAATGTTACGTGTAGTAAGACTTTTTAGGCGTGGTGGAAAGACAGCCAACGTGTTGCGGATATGGGTGCGAAAGTGCATGAAGCCAGCATAGCGCAGACGAACGGCTGTAATGGTGTCGACAAGCATCACGATCTGGCCTGATCAGTATCTCACTCATAAGCAAAAAACAAAACAATCTGCAAACATACCATGTACCACAGAAACGGTCGGTGAGCCATGTTCACCTGGTCAATAGTCAAGCGCAGGCTCTTTGCGCTGCCCATACCAGGTGCTAGCTTCCGCCCCAGCATCGTTTCAATACCATCGGCATACTCATTCAACTCGTCATCTTCTGAATGACTCTGCTCTGGATGTGCCTGCCTCCTCTTCATGCGCTCATCGTCGCTTTCGGTACCACGATTTAATAGCGCCCACGCGAAAAACTCGCGCACATTCTCTCGTCGCACCTCTCCGGGCCTAGCGCCCAGAAACCATCTGCTGATGTAGTATTCTGGGTGAGGAATTTTATCCCAGCATCGCCAGAAAAGTTCCTTCCTGTCTTCCTGTGGAAGTAGCGGGGGATGTTCTGCTGATGCCTGGAGCGCGCGCTTGCGGGGTATGTACACCAGAAGCCAAAATGCCGTCTCGATGGCGCTCCATGTTAGCAAAAATCGACGAAAGGCCGTATGAGGAGGCTCGGCGATGCTGAATGAAACCCAGAAAATGCTGAAGGGCGTGATAGCGCGTAACCCCAAGATGCACGTCCGGATGAATATGTACTTTGGTACCGTATGATCGATCATGATCGTAGCGAACGGTGCTCGAGACCGTTCTCAACTTGCCCGCAGTCTCACAAAAAAAAGGTGAGGAGTTATTGTAATACCGCAAACATGTTGGTTGTTGATAGACGGGAACTCGACCTTGTGCAGGCACCGATGACGCAGGCACTTGCGTATCTCTTACTTAGTCAGCTTCACCCTGTCGTCATCTGATCATCTCGCATATCATTATCTTAATGATTGCTGCCTGAGAATATGACCAATCTTCTCCTCTAGTGATCGAACGCTGATATACAAACAAACAGCAACTCCTTCTACGCCTGTCCGAAACGCCTCAGATCTTCTAAATAGTCTAAGAAGACCGGTCTGATCCATCACGTGACGAATATCCACCACCTGAGCCACGACGATACCCACGACGTTTGCGAAATTTGCTGCTAGATTCGTTCCCAGGTCGTTCCCTCCAGCTGTCTTGCCATGGTTGTTTCCCGTGGCCTTGGTGAGTGGCCTGCCCATCTGACTTCCCAGAGTGCGAAACCTGACTGGGCGAAAATGGAGGGCGATGGTCTTTACCGCGCGAATGGGGTCGACCATGGTCGTCAAAGGAGGATTTTTCGCGGGAAGGTGGCCGACCGTGGTCACCAGAGGAGGATTTGTTGCGCGAAGGGGGTCGATCGTGTTCGGAGGAGGAGGATTTCCCCCGTCGATTAGATCTCTTTCCCTTTTTCTCGGCTCGTGCCTTCGCATCCCTCTGCCGCCGTTCAACTGCTTTGTTCCTGGCAACACACATGCAATGTGCTGAGATGTGTTCTTCGCCGGGTTCGAGTTGGCACTTGTTGGCCTTACACTCGTCGCAGTGAAGATCTGTCGCTGTGCAGGCGGACTTCATATGCCCGGATTGACCACATCTCCAACAGTACTCTTCTACACCACCAATCGATTTGAAGTTGGTGACGCTATACTGCTCGATGCCAGTGGCCACCTGGAGCATTCTATCCTCCGGGTGGTTCCTGCATGTGTGTTCACCAAGCCCAATCTGAAAGGCGCAAATCAATGTGCGGCCCGCATCATTGGCCGCGGTGTGGGGGTCACTATGCTCAAACCAAAGATTTTCCACAAGTCGCCTCAGTCCAATCTGTTCCTTGCGGGGCATGTTCCAACGGTTCCTCTCTCGAGCGAGAACCTGGGTATCAATGTATCGGACCACCGTGCCAAGAGGGTCCATGTCAAATCCGATCGCTTTGTCCTTCAGATTGTTCTTGTCGTGGCTAACATCATGGCCCATGACGATAATGGGATGATTCCCTTTCAACCCAGGAACGCCCTTGATAGGCTGTACAAACAAGTCGTGCATTATCTGGCGTGCTTGAGCAAAGGTGACAAACCGGCCTTGTCCAAATCGGTTGCCAAGTACCCCTCGAGATTGTGGGTTCTGGTTTGGCAAATGCGATGTCTCTATCAGCCGGAGCAAGTAAAATTGTACTTGCTGCAATAAATGCTCTCCGAAATCTCCGAAATCTCCCCTATTCACAAGCGACACAACATCTTGACGGGAAAAGGTAGCGATACCCACTTCGGTCGTCTCTTCCGTGTTGCTGGACCAGTGCTCGCAATCCAGACACACCACAATGATGTGGTCGGCAGCTTCCCGTGCAAAATCGGGAATGTCGGAGATGTGGTTCATCCCAATGCAGTGCTCCCACACTTGGAGATCTGTGAGTTGATCAAAGCGGTTTTTGAGTACTTTGATGGCAGCATCTTGCTGTTGCTGCGCAGTTACTGCAAAAGGAATGTCCGTTGGCGAATGCGTCGGCTCGGCATTATGGGACGTAGTGAATGCGGTGTCGATAGCGAAGGTGGCTTCCATGACGATCTATAATAAATATAACCGTCTGTAAAAGTAAGGCTCCAGGCGCTGGAGGCGTAACGATGTAGCTACTCAGGCTGAACTGGGACTGGAAAGAACCGCCATCAGCTTGCGCTCACAAACAGAATATCGAAGTAAACAATATGGGAAGCAGTAGAAAGTGTAAGATACTGCAAGCCCGGGTCGAAGTCAACTTGGTAAACAGATGGGTAGTGGCGAAGCGGGGTTGGTGAAGGTGAATGCGCGGGGGCCTCAGATCGATGAGAGTAGTGAAAGGCGTTGAGTTTTCCCATGAAACTGGCTTGAAGAACATATTTTATGACTTACAGGTAGCAGTTCGTTTTGGAAGAAGATTTAGCGTTTGAGTCGAGTGTTGTGCGTAAATTTGCTATCGTGGCGGCTGGCCGTACGCAAGCCTTCAACATACCCTTGCTCTTTTTTTCTACAAATGAGTTCTCATCACAGTACCCTACGAATTGTATGTCTCTCAATTTTCTATATATAACAAGGAGACGACATCACGTTTTCCTTGTGGGTACCATTCCTGTTAAACCATGGTTCCGAAAACTATAGATTGACAATGCCAAAAACGGTGTTGATGAGATTTGCTAGATCAATATTGGGGAAAATACAAGGCATGGTAATGTCTGCCTAGATGGTATAGGATTGTCCTATTAGAGTAGCCGGATATCTAAAAACTACGGCTGTAGATCAAGTTTACATTCCGGCCAGTGAATCATCCTCGCTAAACACTTCTTCAACACGAAACTAGCGCTTCGTAATTCAGTTGTGTTCAAAAAGACATGAGAGCGGAAAATGTCATGAATAGGTAAGGAAACGCGCGCTGACGGTGTGCACATGGTTGATAGGCTACACTGCCTGAGGTGAAACGAGTTTTTCAAGGAAGCCAGGAAAAGTGAATGTGAGAGCGCACAAAGATCGCACATGGACCAGTGAATTACAAGAGCTTACCAAGTGGGTCTACAGTGCTTATGGTGACCATAGTTCGCTCACTATGCTCAGTCTTTCCATCACCTCTGGGCATGCACATATTTCACGATTCCTAAATTTCGACCAAGAACTTCTTTTCCTACTCTCCCTCAACCAAGGTCCACTCGAAACAACAAGTACCGTTCAAGAAAAAGTGCAAGACAGTCCTCGGTCAACAACACATCATGGGACATTTCCATTCCTCGAAGCCCCCCAGCGCATCTACACGCGACCAAGTTCTGGCTCCGCCCACCGAAGAATTCCCAGCCTCGTCGATTGGCGACCTGCAAGTCAGTGAACGCATGCAAGATGTTGCACACTTCTTCCAGGGAATGAGCCATACAGAGATGCTCGAATTTTGCTTGGGATTTGAGAAGCCAAATACTCCGGTACTTGCTGAACACGTTGTGCTCATTGCAGTGCAGTGTGGTGAGTTGAGTAGAGAGCGCCCTGCACTGCTGGATATTGGAATACACACTGTCAAACGCCGAGACATGCAGGAGAAATGTGCATGCCCTGGACCGCACAGCCTGAACATCGTTCGCAACGCATCGTACCATCACATGTGTATACAGGATAATGCGCGTTATGTGAACCTCCTGGAAGTTGCTCTGGATTCCCAGAAAACCTGTTTTGGGCGTACGCGGTTTATAGACGGAAAAGAAGCCAAAGTTGTGCTAGAAAGCTTCCTCCGACAACCCGTCGAACCGTTGCCAACAGGAGAAGAGTATTGTGCTGTTTCAAACAAGTATCTAGTCCCGGGTGCCTGTCCCATTGTCATTCTACAGGACGGCACATGGCAGCGCCACGCACTACTCAATACTCTCGGTCTTGAACAAATCATCGGAGAGAATACTGTATCAATGATAAGCACGCTGCAAATTGCTCGCGAGATGGGCTTTGGCTGGCGCGACAAGGCTTTGACACTGGGGCAGCTCGCCACCGATCTCAAGATCGACTTCCCTGAACACCGGAGCGCTGCCGACTTTGCTGCGTATACCCTCATCACTTCTATACAGATGGTTATGCGCCCAAAGATACCACTTGCAAAGCAGCCGATTCAGTCTGTCATTAACGTTGCAATGCTGCACAGCCAATGCAATCAACCGTTATGGGGCAACGAGCACTATTGTTCAAGGTGCGGACAAGACGATCACAGCCGCAAAGGTTGCTGTGTGATGCAGATTATAAGGATGTGTTCCAAGTGTGCTAAAGCAGAGAGGCACCCGGCTGCGTGGTCTCATGTGGCGCAAATGTGCCCCTGGTAAGGCCGCTCGTCATTGCCCAGTCGGTTGGGAAGAAGCAATATTCATGGTTTCGGAGATGGGGTTCCGCTTCTAGAAAGGTATGTAGTAATAGCATTTGTATAAAATCAACCCGTCACTGTTTTCTGGACGATGCCTGCACCTTCACATGTGAACATGGGGACAGCACCAACCGTTTGTGGCGCTGGGCTGAGACTGACATGTTGCGTTTGCGGGATGAGATCATCAGTACCAAGCCACATGTGGCGGCAGCAGCCGCGCACCCTTCTTCCACACCTCCAGGGTCACAACCTGTCACTTGTCCTCTACAAAACCTTATTCGCCACAGCGCATTTTGGTTATCTCACAGAATATCCATATACGTACACCGACAGTGCGTTTTACTCTGTGTCGACCTGTTGTGCCTGATACAAGGCTGGGGTCTCCACACCTGCTTTCCCCGCATCCCACCTTGTCAGGCCATCTCCACGTGTTCGCGACTCAAGTCTACAAAGTACCTCTCGGCCATAGGCCGTTGGACCTCCAATATTACCACCACACCAATGTCAAATCCCATAACCAACGGCGACAACGGGAGCGCTAGCGCTCCCCGTGATCATTTGAGTAACTTGCCCGAGGAAATCTTGCTCCAGATCTTCGAAGCCGTGGGTCGCAATGCCAGGCGCGACCTCTGTAGTGTGTCGCGCGTCAACAAGAAATGCCATCGCCTCAGTGATGCCATTCTCTACAAGAGTATTCTTTTTGATTCGCCGGAGCTGCATCTCACCTTTAGCGAGTCCCTGAGTCGGCGACCCCGACGCGGCTCTGCTATTCACGAAATCAAGCTCTCATACCCTTCTTCGGAACTGTCGCAGCTGGCCCTCGATGCACCAGTACATGGCTCGTATCTCGACCCCAAGCGATCAGACAGCCTTTCGCGGACATTGTCTATCATGTCGAATTTGGAAAAGTTGGATATCTCAGTACCAGATGTGTTGTTACATGGCATTGGCACCTTGTTCAACGGTCCGTTCGATCTCACTTGTTTGAAGACGTGTTCGCTATTCTATCAATGCGCCAATGATGCATACTGGGACCTCCGCGAAAACATTCACATATTCGCCCATCCGACTCTTGAGACTTTGACCATTCGACGAGCGAAGCTAGACGAAAAGGGCTTTGACCACATCGAGCGACCCCACATGACAGCGCTAAAGCATCTCCATTTGATCGAGTGCGACATAAACGATGATTCGCTTGGCGATCTCCTTGAACTTCCCGAGGCGCTTGAAGAATTCGTCATGACGCAGACAGAAGAGCCAGAGCCAGAGTTGGAGGAGAGTTCCGATAACGTTGGGGACTACATCCTGGCTGCACAGTCGCAGGCCGAGTTTCTGAAGAGCATTACAATCGACCACCCAACACTTACTGGACGCAAGGTATTACGAATGAGAGAGTTTGCGGCACTGGAGACCCTGCGCCTGAACTGGGACTATCAGCTTTTTGGAAAATCGTCTAAGCGGCCAAGGCTTCATTCAGTCGGATTACCGCCAGTCATGGAAACGCTCGAGTTCTTCAATGATCTAGGAAGCGACAATGAAGTTACGGATCTTTTGCTAGCCACGATTGAGCAAAAAGACATCGTTGCGAGGAACTGGAAGAAATTTATCGTAGTCGAAGGAGAGAATGGAGTTTCTCGCGAAATCAAGGATGCATGCAAGGCAGCGGGACTTCAGCTGGACATCATCGGAGCCATGGATGAGGATTCAGACGAAAATACAGACGAGGACTCAAACCACGAATCAGACAACGATTCAGATGACAATTCAAATGACGACTCGGATGAGGACAGCGAGTAATTTTGGAGGAAAGTCGATCTCCGACAATATCCGCCTAAACGTGTGCGCCGCATGACCCTGGAATACCTGTTCACACCCGACCACGTGCTTTTCAGCAAAAGCCTCGCCGTATCAACTACGGAACTCACCGTTGTCAACCATGCTTCAGATCGCATCAGAGTCGTTGGTAATGCAGCTACGCATCATTAGCAAGACCTGTTCTACTACCATGGTGTCACTTTGCAGTGCCAAGAGGTTGTTGGACCAATATTCCGAGGACTTTAAGCGACATTCGTCACATAAGGCCACATCAGTACAGCTTCCAGGAATGACGATTGTAACCGAGAAAGCACTCCAAGTCAAGGCCATAACAAGGGAGCAGTCAAACCATGCGACCACACTATGTATACCTGGTTATCCGGTTTGTGAAATCGGTCATATCTAGGTCGCGAGTAGATTGTACATGGCGAGAAGGGGTTCTCGGACTCGCCCCAGCATTCATCTGTCACACATCCCAGGGCTATTTGAGGCATCTTCCACAGCAAACACAAGTCACCGGCAGCGTAGAGTCGGACAGTCTATTTCTCACTGGCAAGCTACAGATCAACTTCGAAGTACATTTCTTCGTCTAGTCCCTGAAACTCATCAAAGCGGAGGAGGTAATTTCCCATCAAGACCAGCCCTGGTTAGAAGCATTCTTAAACCTAGAAATACATGTAGATAAGACAAGATAAAAATTACCAATTAGATACCTCAACCACTAAACCCTCCACACACGCAAACAGGGGACTCCCGTCCTTCCATCTCCTCTTCCTACTGCAAAACAAGCGTATACCTCCCCCTGACCACAACCTTCCCTCGCGTCCTCCCTCTAACCTTCTTCCCTTTCCCACTCGCTTTCCCCCGTCTCCTCCCCCTCTTCTCCTTGCTACCTCCTGCTGAATCTTCCTTCCCAACCTTTCCCCTCCTGCGTAATCCGCTATCCCGCCACCCAGCAACATACATCCACACATGGCGCGCGAGCACCAGCACAACCGTGGCTACGCTATCGGCCTTGAGTTTGATGTGTGTGGCAGGTATGTAGGAGAAGGTGGGTCGTGGTAGGGCGGCGAGAAGGGAAAGGGGGAGGGAAATGATTTGTTTGAGGGCCGTGGTTGTTGTGTTCATTTTTTGGGGTGGGTGGTTGGAGAAGCTAGGGAGAAAGAGAAGAAAGGGGAGGGGGGGAAGTGGGTTTTGTGAGGGAGGGCTGACGTGGCTGGTTGTGAAGCAATGCTTTGTTGGTATGAATGGATGGAAGTTTTTTTCTGCGTGGCGTTCTGCGTATCTTATGGAGCGGTGTTTTTTTGGACATGTAGCCATATATGGCGGTGCGTGGCTTTCAAGATTGAAATAGGGTACCGTTGGTACTGTGGATTGGAGCTTTGGTTGAGGGTTTTGGCAATGGAAGATGGCGCTTTTCATCTGTAAATTCCACGTTTGATGTCTGTGCCGTGATATGCAGCGCCGGCAGGCAGTTCGAGTGGTCTGTCGTTGTCGAAAGTGGGCTTTAGCAAGTCAGTTCAACCGTACTGTCAGCTAATATTACTTGAGTCGAGAAAACTAACTGCTGCGATGTATCCATCAATTTGCTGGGGAGGCAGGGGGCCCAGTCTCCTACCCCCTTGTAATTCCTGAGGTCCACTGTATTGCTCTTGGACATCCAGTTCCTGTGGACGTAATAGCGCTCCTTGGGAGTTGCTTTGCACACCGGCTGGTGCCGTGTATTGGTATCCGATGAACGGTGTCATCTGGTCTTCCTGCATTTTGCGTATGGCCTTTTTGCGCTGTCGTTGTTTTCTGCACATTACGCAGAAGATGACGGTACAAAATGCTCCTACTATCACTAGACAGCCGAGGCCAACGATGCCTCCGATAACGGCGGGTTCCAGATATGTGCGGCGGTGAAGGGGCGCCATATTTCGCGGTAAAGGCCTGTCACGTTTTCAAGCTGGTGTCGGGTTGTTAGTGTACATTGTATCGCATATCAGGAACCTGGGGATCTGGTGTATTTAAACGCCGTTGGCCTGGAGTGGCTATGCAATGCGTTCAAGCCACGAACCTGGCCTTACGCAGCCATTGGCAGGATGTAGTGGAGCGTCGGCGGGTTGTTGGGGGCCTGAATGCCCATCTGCCCATTGTATTTGCCAGGCTTGCTTGAACGGATGTGATATCCAAGGGGCTTGAAAGTAGGGCCGAGAATAGAACAGTAAAATGAGGAAATCCGGGTGCGGATCATAGAAATATAGTCTTGACAAGCAGGCCACGAGGATGATGATGTGGAGGTGCCCTGAGTGTGCCATCACGCCTACCCGGGGTCTACAGCAGTCCCGATCAAATCCATCTTTGCATAAAAGGTGGCTTACACTGAAACCGCCAACTACGTAGAAAGGTACATCCGCTATAACAAGTACACGTGACGATGTCTAAGGGTGGTGGATAGAAGTCGCGAAGCCACTTACGCTAACGCTAAGTAATGGATGACGCGCGATTCGGCCTAAACGAAGATGACGTGCGGCATCTAGCTGGCCGTGTAGATCAAAAAGATATCGCATGCTCGATGTCCTGCGCAGCACCGCTTCTTCCCCTCCATTATATGTCGACATTGACGATGCTGGGATCAATAAGCCCCCATCTGCGCTAAGCTCGGCTACAATTCTCCCAGCCACGGCTGAACTGCCATCACGCGCCAACGCAACCACCCCACCACTACGCATTACTGCCTTCTGCGCCGCACAGTCACACTGCATAGCATCTTGTCGCACTGATCGTAGAACCCTACAATAAGAGACTGCTGCGCGATACTGCCTCAGTCACAACTCCCCAGCACCGGCCATCTAGTTCGGAGTATGCACTCGCCATATCAACATACCAGAAGACGTCAACACTGCAACAAACAAAATGGATGAGGACCTGCGCATGCTCGAGGTATGTGAGCAATGATAACTGACTCAATACGCGCCTCCACTAACAGGAACGCGTTTTACAGGAAGAATATTGCCCGCCAATAGATCCTACACTTCTCTATACCATCTATTCGGATTACGCAGGGGAACCAGATGCCGTTGCCCGCACCAGGGAACTTTTGGAGACCCTGAAGGCCACAGCCGAAGTGGAAGCACTTAATTTCGATCCCTCTGGTAGCAGTGGGGGCGCCGTGCAAGACAGTCCAGACAAAAGCAGCACCGACGCCGATTCGTGGGGCACCCAAACTGTAACGACGGAGCACTCGTCCCTTTCAAACGATTTTGCTTCGCTTAGTGTAAGTGGGAGTTCGGGAAGCCCACAGGAGTCATTCGAGAATGGATACTACAAAGACACGGAACAGTTCGATGTTCCTACCAAGGAACTACTACTCGCCGAGACGTTCCCCGGCTTGCGGCTTGCCCAGGTGACGCACACGCTGAAAAAGTGCGGCTACGATTACGACAAAGCAACAGATGAGCTACTCAATCATGTCTTCTTTGATGATAGCAGGAAGAGCCCTACAGAGGAAGGTCCTATTGCCAAGGGCATTGAAGCCTTTTCAGAAGAACATCATATACCGCAAAAGGGGAAAAAGGGCAAGGCAAAGAAAAGGCAGAAAGTGTCTTTGAATAACCTTGGGGCTGATTGTTTTGTTGAATCAGATGCGCCGACAAACCGCTGGCAGAACACAAGCCGTGACGTGGAATTTGTCACGTCGCGAACGAGCGTTCCAGCAAAGACTGTCTCGTCGCTCTATCATGCGAATGGCGCGTCTCTGTCAGCGACTGTGTTGGCCATTGTGAAAAGAGACATTGAAGCGCACAAGAAGGAAGGGCAGCCAGAAGCTGCGCTAGTACAGGACGCAATTACGCTGAACGAGAATTTTCCTTCGATCGACTTAGAGCATGCCATTGCAGTCGTGCGCCTGACTGCCCCTTCGACCATCAAAGCTAAAGAACTCGCAAAGGCCCTCACCCAACAACCGGCGAGCGAAACGGGCGGCAAAGGGGGCATCAAACTTGATCTGCGATATGCTCCAGTCGATCTGTCTGATCCCTCGGAAGTAACCAAACTGCCTGTGCTTGCGCCCTCTGCCAGGCCGCGCGACGCCGTCTCCACCGCTGCCGCTCGAAACGATGCGTTCACAAAAGCATCCGGCGCTTATCGCAGAGGCAAATCAACGCCGCTCATGAGGCAAGCTGCAGCTTACTATGCGCAAGAGGGCCGTGACCTCAATGCCAACCTGAAAGTTATGAACGCAGCTGAAGCTGATTCATTAGTTTCGTCACAATCAGGACCTACGTACCTCGACCTGCACGGTGTAACCGTTGCGGACGCGACTAGGATAGCAAAGCAACGCACACAGGCTTGGTGGGACGGCCTTGGGGAGCGCAGGATTCCCGAATGGAGCGGTCCTGGTCGGAGAGGTGGAGGCGATGTCTTCAGGATCATCACAGGTTTGGGTAGACACAGCGAAGGCGGCCGAGGTAAACTGGGGCCCGCGGTGTTGAAGACATTGGTAAACGAGGGTTGGAAGGTTGAGGCTGAGCCTGGTGAGTTGTACGTCACAGGTTTGGCAAGAAGAAGGTGAAGTTGAGCCTGGATCTGGAAAAGATGCGTTGTATACAGGCCATTTCTGTGTCAATGTTGTTTCAATATACCCTTGTGTATGCGCAAAAGCGCAATGATATACCAAATGATGAACATTGCTGCAACAACTATTGTGTAAACTAGAGGGCGTTGAAGTTGACATGCCCCTATCCCTATCTTGACATATTAGCGCCGCGCTAAGTCTCCCACCGTTAACTGACCCACACTCGCCTTCCCCGTCCCCCCATTTTTCCCATGGCCATTACGCACGCGAGAACAAATCTCGAAACACCCGACAGCTTGTCGATAAGCTCTTCCTACATGAACAGTCGCAGGGCCAAGGCGCAATCGCCCTCGTGCCTGGGTTTCAAAACCAAAACGCGCGTTTTTTCCCTCCCTCTCGGACATGCATCGCGCCGCGCTGCGTCTACCCGTTTCATGGGGGCTGCGACAGAAACAGCTACACCATTTGTATGCGAAAGTGATTTTTTTGGGTAAGGATGAGCTCGCCCGTTGACAAACGGTGTGTATACACGTTGGTCACGAGGGAGTAATCGCTCAGTACCAGCTCGATGATGTGAGGATTCAATCGATGTTTTCGAGCACTTTACAGCGTGGAATTTGAATAACGCGACAGCAATACGACCAACTCGCTCATCTCGCAAATATGTACAGGTACCAGAAGGATAGTCATCGTTCTATTTACATAGTGGGCCCACTCACGTAATGAACGTTTCGCCCTCAAGGCCTCGTAGTCACAGACTATCCGCATTGCGCATGCCTTGCACCACCTGCACCCGCCTGAGGGTCTGTCCATCCTTGCGCACACGCAACATGACAGCCTCGCAATCGGGATCGCTACCAACATAGCAAGTCAAGGATGTAATAATGGAATAGCCAGTTGGAACGCGTCAACCTTTTGATACCGGACGTGCCCAGCCCGATAGCGGACCCTTGCTCCAACGCAAGAGAAGAACGAATATATAGAAGGCAACTAGAAGTCCACAATTGCTTTTTTGTCATCAAGTCAAGTATTCGATACTCGTTCAGTTAGGCGGTTGCAAGCACCGTTCACACATATACATATATATATCATCAGCCTTGTACATTCTGCTGCTAGCCAGCTTTGTCTTTACTGTTCCTTCACAGACTACTTTCATACATCACTGCCGGACAGTCTTTTTTTCGACACAACTATCTTTTTGAGAAAACTATCACAATACGCTATATTTTACAAACGCCAATATGAAGTTCGACACCAGCATTCTTCTTGCCTCTTTGGCCGCTTCCGCCGCTGCTGCTCCGACTGCTAGGCCCAACAATGTTGCTATTGAGAAGCGCTTTCCTGTGCGTCTACCTTTTGTTTTATCTAAACAGTATTCGGTACTGTGATATGGGCAATCATAACTAACAAATATCTAGGACGGAACTGCCGCCCAGCAACTCCCCGCACACTTCATTTCCACAGTCCGCCGGCTCACAGGCGAGAAGATTAAGACCAAGCGTCAGCTCGATGGTCTCCTCGGTAGCCTGGGTGGCGGCGGCCTTGGTGATCTCCTTGGAGGGCTGACTGGCGGCGGCGGCAACAATAACAATAACAACAACGCTCAGGCGGATTCTGGTAATGCCCAGGAGGACCAGAAGGAGTCTGGCAATAACCAAAATGCCGCTGGCGGTGCTGGTGCCGAGAAAGGTGCAGCTAACAACGGTACTGAGGCTGCTGGAGCTGGAAATGCCGCTGCCAGCAACGGTCAGGCTCAGCTTGAGGGCGAGGAGGAGCAGGGTCAGGGAAATGCCGCCCAGGAAAATGACGCTGAGGAAAATGATATTCAGATTAATGGTTTCGGCGGAAATGATGCACAAGGTATGTCTCGTCTATTCTGAATTTGAAGTCATTTTCTAACACTTCTCAGCTGCTGGACAGCAAGATGCTGGTGCGGCTGCTGCACAGCAGGGACAGGCTGGTACTGCTAACACGGCTTCTGCCCAGAAGGGAGCAGGAAATGCGGATGCTGCTGCTGCTCAGCAGGGTCAAGCACAGGCTGGTAATGCTAATGGAGCCTATGGTCAACAAAACCAGGCAGCTAATGCTGGAAATGCCAATGCTGCCGCTGCTGAGCAAGTCCAAGGTCAAGCTGGCGGTGCTAACAACGCTGCTGCTGCCCAGCAAGGACAGGCAGCTAACGCTGGAAATGCTAACGCTGATAACGCCAATGCCGGAAATGCCAACGCTGGAAACGCAAATGCTGGAAATGCTAACGCTAATAACGCCAACGCGGCTTCTGCTCAGCAAGCCCAAGGCCAAGCTGGTGGTGCTAACAACGCTGCCGGTGCCCAGCCATGTCCTGGCGCTGCTGGCGCTGCTGCTGGCACTGGTAACGCTGGTAATGCCAGTGTAGCAGACGCTCAACAAGCCCAGTCTGGCAACGCTGCCAATTCTGGTACCGCATCTGCCCAGCAGGCTCAAGGTCAGAACCAAGCCGGTTCCGCTCAAGCCTCTGGCAACGCTGCCAACCAGGGCGCCACGGCAGCTGGTAAGGCTGATTCTGCGCTTGCGGACTCACAGGAGGAGGACTAAATAGCTTTGTTCTCTGGTTAGGCGCTGGGTGATAGTGGAGGCTTGGTGAGAGTGAGGGATGGGGAAAGGGGGAGAAGATGATGACAAGGGGGCAAGGGGCAACATGGAAATTGGAAACCTGAGGAAGTAATGACAATGACGAGGCGGTAATGCTACGATATCTTTGGGAAGAACATGTTGTATGATCACCCTTTTTTCTTCTTCTGTTTGCTAGGTAAATGGGAATTGTGAATGGTCTATTGTTTGTTTTGGGGGAATGATTTGGATTGAATCCTTTGTTTGATCATGAAGAAAGTTCTTGTTTTTTTTTGTACAGATAGATTATTTTGAATACGCATGGGAGAGACAAAAGAACACGCGCGCGGGAGGGGGGCGGTGAAGTTGGTATGTAATTTTTGTGTAAGATTAAGATTATCAAATGTATCAAAGGAAGAAATTTCAATAGTAGTACAGAAAATCAGAAAGACACAGTGACGACTCCAAAAAAAGGGGGGGAGGTGAGGGAGGTTGCGGCACCAATAGTTCATTCCAAACGTAGTAGGATTCGTATATACACCATCATCTTCCCCTAATATCTTTCCCTAATAATGTCCCCAAAAAAAACAACAACAAACGAACGCCTCTTTCTCCGACCACCAAAGTCTCTTCTCATATACATATCATTCACATCACAGCATTACTCACAAATCATCCCTTTAAACTCCCTCCCCTAAACTCCTGCCCCCCCGAAAAAAAAGTCAACGACAATAACAACGACGTACGAAAAACGCCCCTTTTTTTTTCCAATGCTCACCCCCTCCACCTACCACACATCCAGACTCGCATTAAGCCCACGACGATAATTCTCGGCCAACCCATCAAAAGAATCCAAATTTTGAACGCCTCCGCCAGGACACTTCCAATCGCGATCATACGCCTTATCCGGGAGGATGCCAGCCTCGCGTCCGCGACGATAACTCCACTGAGTCGAACTCTCCGTCTCCCAGGTCCAGTAGAACCAGCCCCAGCCGGCCTCGAAGGCGTCCATCTGGCCAATGGCAAACTGGTAGAGCCATTTTTTGTATTCTGGGGAGTAAGAAGAGGGATCGGCGTTTGCTTGTTTGCAGGAGCATTCGGAGGATTGCAGGGGGCATTGGGGAGCGAGGACTGCGCTGGTTTTGTCCGTGGGTTGCAGTGTGCCTTCCCAGCGGGATCCGGTGCCGACATTGTTGATGTATTGTGTGCAGTCTGTGTCTGCTTGGGACCACTCGCCGCACATGGTGGGGCCGAAGCCGGTTTTGGTGTTCATGCTGCGTTTGGACTGCTGGGTCCAGCCTTCGCAGGCAAAGTTTAGTTTGTCGCGGTGTTTGAGTTTGAGCTGGTCGGTGTTGAAGATGACGTATTGGTGGACGTCGAGGAGGAGGTCTTTGTTGCCTTGGAGTTTTCCTTGCCAGTTATCGAGGCCCATGAAACCGTCGCCGAAGATGATGATGGCGGTTATGCCGTCGGATCGGATTTGGTCGATGGCTTTTTGTGTCCAGGCGAGGACTTTTTGCGTGTCGAGTTCGACCATGCGGGGTTCGTTGACGAGGCCGTACATTGTTACGAGGTTTTTGTAGCGCGGTTGGGCGAAGAAGACGGAGAGCTTGTGGTGCACTTCTAGACTGCGTTCGGCGTTTCTGTCACCGTCGGTGCCGTTGAGCCAGCCGATCGCGCCCTGGCGACCAGAATGATTCCAGCCGTTTTGACTTCCGGGTGCGCCATGGAGATCGAGGTTCACGCGAAGGCCGTTTTGTCGGCAGTATTCAATACCGCGGAGGAGGTATCGCCATGACACTTGCGGCACGTATACATCGTCATCGTAGGTTTGGACCATCCAGTAACCGAACGGGAATCGGACATGGTCCATGCCAGCCGCTCGAATCTCAGCAAACGTCTGTTTAGTGATAAAGGTCGCGTAGTGCTTCTCCAGTGTCGATTTGGCTTTGCCGGGCCCCAGCTTACTGAGAAACGTCCATTCATCCACTACGTTATCTTTTGATCCAAACTGTGAGAAGAAGGATGGTGTGATAAAAGGTTCGAGGTTGAGCCATCCACCAACGTTGACGCCGCGAATCGGCATCTTGCCATATTCGAACTTGTCCGACAGTTTTGGTACGGATGGGTTGGCTTGAACGTCGTCGTTCCACGTCGAATTGAGTCCGATAATGGGGAGGCCTCCTACAAGCTCATTCGTGTAAGTGACATTGAAGTCTTGAGTATCCAGCCAAGACCACGGGTCCAGTATACCACCCCGATCCTGTTCAGGCACGCTGTTTCGATCTTTGCCAGCGAGGTTGCTAGTGGATGGCCCAGACGACGAGCCAGCTGCGGGTCCGCTTCCGGTGTTGGAGGGGCTACTGCTCTTGCCGGAAAGGACTACCCCCACGGGTATGATGATGGCCAGCAAAAGTATGACGGACAGTACGCCAATCAGTATGCGCTTCCGCTTCTTCTTCCTTGCAAGCTCCTCCTCAGAGTAGACTGTCGGCGCACCGCCTCCACGCTTCTCCATCATGTAGCGGTATTCTGAGTCGTCATCAATGCCTCCCTCTTCTGCCAATGGACCACTGACAACACGCCGCTTTTTCTGCTCGGTCCTGTGCTGCTTCTCTTGCCTCCTTCGGTCCCTTCTCTCTTCAGCTTCCGAGGCCGTATACTTGGATTCGCGTCGTCGTCTCCGCTCTTCTCTTTCATCGTCAGTGCGGGAGCCCCGCTTCCGCTCGAGTTCGTCCTCGGTTTGACTAGCCTTCAGCTCAGCTGCTTTACGTCGCTCTTCGCGCCGCTTTCTTGCCTTTTCTGCATGGATAGCAGCATCGCTCTCGACGGCGCGTCGCCTGGCCTCTTCTTCTTTTTGCTCTTTTCTCTTTGCTTCACGCTCCTCCTTTAACCTCTCCTGTTCGAGTTTTTTCTCCTTTCTTCGTACTTCCTTCAAGTAGTCCTCATCGTAGTCGTAGGTTCCCCAGCCACTCGACTTTTTAGCATTGGTCTTGTCGAGCTTTGCGAGGGCATCCAAGCTCAAGGGCGCAGAGCCTCGACTGCCGCTGCCGCTTCCATCTGTCTTGGAGTTGCGGCGCGACCCCCGCGCTTTACGGGGAGCAGACGACTCGTATTCAGTATCGCTCTGTTGTCTTGAGCGGCGCTGAGGCCGTGGTAGCACGTCGCCTTGGGAGTCGGTAGCTCGGTGGCCTTTTCTTCGTCGCCCCTCTACATCTTGTACTGCGCGCTCGCCCTGGGACTCTCTCCGTTTGCGCCTTTTGGGATCTACATCGCCATGTGATTCTCTGCGTCGTCTTCGCTCGTCGCCATGGGGCCGTCTGCGCGAGGGGTCGCGGTCGTGGTCACTCATTGGAGGAGAGTTGTTGGCTGCAAGCAGCTCTTGGGGGTTGGGAATGCGAAAGCGCGGTGTAGAATCGTGGGGGCTGCAAAGCACTTCATACAAGCTTGAACATGACAAAAAAAGAAATACGCCGGGACGGGGAAATCAGGACGCGGGTAAAGGACTCGGACTGGTTCTCAAACCATCAAGGGCCTGCGCAAGGGTAGCGAATATGTACAATGGCGGCTGGCCACATGCACGAATTCAAGCTTGCTAGGATGTTGCGGTGGTTGCTAGGGTGATTGGTGTTGATGGCTTACCTGACGTGGCCGAGCCGCTGGGCAGTGGAAACTACTTGGAATGCCATCTTGGAAGCGCGGCAAACTTTGATCCAGACCAAGTTTACGATGTGATTTGTTGCGGGGTGTCAACAAAACAGATATGCTGCAGTTGCAGACTCGTCAGCTCGTACTCGGTCTCTCGTAGCAGCACACATGATATTGTGCCGCCGTGTCCCTAACAAAGTTGCATGCGTGCCAACTAGTCTAGAACGCAAGCGGTCAAAACCTAAGCCGTGCAGACAGCCCTCTGAGCCACGAGAGTACGTCATTCGACAAGGTGCCGCACACCGCTGGAGCGTGCATCTCGTCGGGTACAGAAGACGACCAGGCCCTGCGTCAACAGGGCAGCCAGATCTGCTCAGCCACCCGTCCACCTCTACAACATGACATCACAGCACGTGGGAGCGACCCCTGGAACCCCCACTAAGCCGTGTGTAAAAATCATCATAGTGTATTGAGTATGTATGTATGTATATATGTGTGTGTGGTATCATAGCGTGAAAAGTACAAAAGAAATGCGCCATGGCGGATACGTCTTTTTCCTATCCGCCAATAAAGCCCGCGAAGGCTCACCCGTGCCTCTCTAGCAAGTTGGTCGACGGGTAGTAGTGACGGTGCAACGATGGCACCGCTGGTATAGAACTGATAAGCCGGTGCGCTGCCCAATACGAAGTGGCCAACCGGCGTTCATGGCAGCATACAGCGCGGCAGTCCTTTCGGAAGAGGAAGTGTATGGCAGCTCTCGCTGCGTGGACGGATCAAACAAAGATCGTAACTCGGAGGTAGACGCTCACGAGGCAGTCACGCCCTGTGAAGAACCAGCAGCATCTGCAGCGGCGGGCGCTTTGCCCTTGTCGGCAGTCTTCTTGTCGTCATCGCTGTAGAGGCCGTGCTCGTAGATGTAGTCGACTACCTTGTCGGGAATGTAGTAACGGATGCTCTTACCGCGCTTGCGGAACAGGCGGATCTTGGTTGAAGAGACATCGTTCTGGATGAGTTGCGGGATGACGCGGATGTTGTGTCTCCACTGCTGTAGTTGAACAAGGGCATCGTCTATTTTATCTCAAGTTAGCACTTGTAAGGCAGACGAGTAGGGAGCAATCTACCAATGTCTGTGCCGCTGCGTTCAAGGATAAAGGCGCCATAGTGGCCTAAAATCCTGCTCAGATCCTCACGAGCCCACAGTCCGGGGGTGCTCATGGTCTGGATCAGGTCAGCGCCGGCGAGCAAGGCGACATGGATGCGGCGCTTCTCGCCATTTTCAGTCGCGATGCCTCCCATGACTTGGTTGAGCTCATAGTCAAAGTGGTCGAGGACCTTGA